CGATTGTTTCACGTGCTCAAATTCCACAACCTGTATTTACGATATGTGTTCCAACTTGCAGGCAAACAAACGCAGAAAAATCTCCCTGCTTTTCACGTTTTCACACCTAAAAACACAGTATTTACAATGGTCTTTCCACCCTGCAGGCCAAAAAGCATGATATTTACGATGTTTTCACTCTCGAACCAGCATAACAATCCAACATGTTTCACGTCTTCACATTCAAAAACATGGTATTTACGACGTTTTTGCTACTTTCCGGCACACTAACACAGAAAAAACATCAAAATCCACCTGCTTTTCCTGTTTTCACAGTCAAAAACACGGTATCTACGATGTTTTTCCGACCTGCAGGCTAAAAACACAGGAAAAACACTAGATTTCTGACCTTGTTTCACACTTTCATCTTCAAAAAACATCGGTATTTGCGATGTTTTTTTCAACTTTTGACTCAATCAGAATCGAAATCAGCCTCCGCAGGGGCGGAGCAGGGAGGAATCGAAGCCCTACCGTCACCAAATTGCCGCATGGTACATAACCCGTCCACACGGACCCTGTAACTCACCCAAAACACCAGCTGACAGCGACTTTTTCTGCCCCGCTGGGCAGCATCTCACCCCCCACACCCCCTTAATCATCTCACTACGTTCGCAAATGAGAACTCAGCAGTCGCCTATCGGCTAGCTTTCGTAATTATATACAGTATACCAATTGATAGGACACTTCAAAAAGAGCTTCGGTTTCGAATACTTTTTTGATTGTCACAGATGTTTTTTGTGCTCCATCCCCCGGTGCTTGGAAAATGTCTTCCAAGAACGGCATCGGTTCCCCAAGTCATCGGTCCGCTGCCCCAAATACTACGTTCACCGCCAAAGCCATTTTAGCCTGCAAGGGGTGAATCCTGGCGAATCATGGAGCATGACTTGATGTTCGTGTTTCCTCGCGTTTTTCAAGGTTGCCCATCCAGCTTCGCTTCCTGCATGTTTCGAAGTAATGGTAGGAACACGGCTTTAGTTTAGACTTTAAACCATCGATCTGCGGTATATATATATACAATATAATGAAACATGTGGCATTTTGCATTTGGAGTCGGCTTCCTTGATCAAGCAAGAGCTGATCATCAAGCAAGAGCTCTGCTGATCAACTCTTGCTACTCTTGCTGTCCAAGTGCTGTCCAGTGCTGTTTAAATCCTTTTGTTCGGGTGAATCGTGATCAATGACTTGCTCAACCGGGTGATCAACGCCAGTTGAACACGTCGTTTCGAAGTCGGACGCCCAAAAAAACGTGGACCCTGCTACCACTGTGGACTGTGCATCAACCATGAACAAAATTAGGACAAAGAACCCAAAGGGTTACAGCAGCAAAGACTGTGCTGGGCAACCAACATACCACGCGGGTCTACAAAGCACCGAGAAATATCCATTTTCTGTTGCCATTCTTGGTTCCCCAGGTCTTCTCCAGATGGTCTTGCATCTGCATATGGAGCACACGACTCACCGCCGAGCACCAACAAACAGCATTGGAGCCAAGCAGCTTCAGTGCCTCACGGCCGGTGACCCAGGCGGCCGACACGGCGGAGCTCTTGCAGCATCGAGAAAAACCAAACGTGTCCAGAAGATGTTGCTGTCCTGAAGGTTTATGAAAAGTAGATTTGTCCAAGCAAATGGGAGAGAAGAAAAGAACCACAGCTAAATGACCCAAAGAGTCGGTTGAATTTGCCTCCCTACAAAAGTAGTGTGACTTACAAACAGAGATTTCCTACCCTTTCAGATCTACTACACCTCCATGATCTCAAACAAAGGTTGCAAGACACTTTTAGCCCTAAAACCTGCAGCACCTGAGTCCTGAGGCCCAGGCTACGTCTCTTGATAACAAATCCCACTTTGGGTGGTCTCCACTTCTGAACACACCGTCACCGTGTGTCTGAGCTGGCGGCTTCTGTGTTACGATGCGATTCCACACGGGCCTGGATGGGGCCGGTGGGTGAAGTTTTACCTTGAACAGGTGGACCTTGGACACGGCACCAAACGAGATCGTCTACTAGGGGAACTTGATGAATTCCACAGCATGCACTGGTGGATCTTTCACTCCAATTTCGAGTCTGAGTGGATATATTGAAGAGTGACGCGTCAATCTAATACTATTTCAAAATCGCTCGCAGCAACCAAAGAAAGGAATGCTTCTCGAAACCACACGGCCATCGGCCATATTTGGCCAGTCTTCCAAGGCGTGGGGCCGAGGGACCTACTCAATTGCTCCGTATTGGGACAACGATTTCCCCCGCAGATTTGCGCAGGTCGGTCAGATTTCTTCCAAACTCTTGGCATGATTTGACAGGTTGGTTTTGTCGGGAGTGGTTCGTTCTTTTTCCCCAGCGGGAAGCTCTGACTAAGGTGCAAGTCTTGCAACACATGCATCTGGATGTCGGGCTTTTCCAACGCTACAAACAGAGCCATCGGACGCTGGGCCACCCTGACCCGGACCGTCTGCGGCCGGGAACGTGGTCCTCTTGGGCCCACAGGCCGTCGTGGTTGAAGCGGGGCCTTGGAGCCGTTCGATCAGAAAGAACACAAGGCGAGTATAGGCTATATATATATATAGGCAATTGTAGGCATGTATATGGGGTAATTACTGGATGATGGTTAGCTTGCAGGCCTTCCTCTAGAGTGATAATTGTTTAGCGACTGTTACAGCTCATGGGACAGACCCAAGGCATGTAGAAAATAGGTGATCCGACATGATCCTAGATCCCTGGAAAAGGGCTTCACCATATTGTCTACACGTTTCTGGGTGCACTGTGTGACAGCTTCCCGGTCCGAGCATCTCAAACACGAGAGGAGTCAAGCTCCAAGAAAAACAAACTGATTAGGCTTACACGATCTGCTATCTTAAACAAGAGAGTCGTACCCATGGCGCCAAATCGAGCCGCCTTTCTTCCATCTTCCAAGAAATTCTGAAATCCAGTCCATGAATGCAGGCCCTCCGCAGCCAGCGTCGCTCAAGCGACAATCCTTCAAATGATTATATCTACGGTCAAGCACTCAGGCGATCTCAGGCGTACACATACTTCTTCGCAATCTGATAGATGATCTGCCAATCGAAGACCACTGGGATAATGCCCAGCATTCCCACGAAGAAGAATGCCAAGCCTCGGTTGCCCTTGATGCGCGTGAAGAGGTTCATGGCAAAGGAGATCAAGAAGCTGTGCATGGCGATGATGAGGCTCCAGAAGGCGCGGAGGCGGAATCTCCCGGAGGCCGCTTGAAAGAGATCATAGGACACATCCTTGTACATGCCCAAGGCCATCACAGAGTAACTCTTGCACAACAGGAACATGACCATGGTGTAGGTGCTGCATACCACTGAGATGCCTGCAAAGATCATCTGCCCTTCATACATCAGCCTGTGCAAGTTCGGGTATTTCAAACGCTCATCGGTGTCGTCGGGCTCCGGCACCGAGCCATAGAACCCGGTGATCACTTGCAGCAACACGGAGGCCACAATGGCGTAGGTGTCCATGCCGGTGACGCGCAGCCCGGCGCGGTCCAGATTCTCAGGGCCAATCCAATGGATCCTCCAGAGCTGCAGGTAGCGGTGCAAGTGCAAGGCCTGCCGCACGGGCACAGCATCATGTGGCAAGGCCTTACGCCAAGCCTTGGGCGACTTGGGGATTCCATCCACCGCCGGGCGCCCCGTGAGCTCCGTGGAACAGGTGGAAGGCGTGCAAGAAGGCGAGCCGGCGTAGAAGCACAGGAGCTTCGAGGAGGAAAAGGCCAAGGCCAAGGAGGCCACTACCAAGCGGGACAAAGGTCCACCCTTGCGTGCCATGGTCATCAGTCGAGTCGAGGTAGGTATAGGGCAGTTAGTGGGGCAGATGCGCCACCGATCGATGCAACGGAGGTCGGGAACCTTTTGCGACTTCGGTCGATGCTCGATCTTGAGCCGAAGCAGTCAGTGGGGTTCCGAAGTGCTGAGATGCAACATCATGGGCCAAACAGCATTGGACAACAGTCAATATAACTTCAAATTAATCTCGCACGAATGGTTTTGGCAAATTTACATGGTCTACTGATGAACTGCTGCCCGCGCGGCACCTTTTAACTGCAGTGACAGCGATGCACAATGGGTTTGAGACACGCGGTCTGCCGATCAACTACCATGACCAGTTTAGGGAGCTCGACGCAATCCATCATGCTGGTGTATGACCAGCATATTTCAAACAGAATGGGATCACTTCCCAACAGGAGTTTGGTGACATCGCAGGCGTTTGTATAAGCCAACTGATATGGGCCCAGTGACCGCAGCTGGCCATGGGAACAAGCTCTAAAGTTATGCTGCACGTGACTTCTCAGTCCTTGGTTGAACACCATCGTGCAGGGAATGAACATGATACATGGATGAAAGTGTGTCTTTTGCCACTGGGCCTTGTCAGCCATGGTCAGGCTGCAGTTCCGAACTCCCAGCTGTCATCGAAAAAGGACTCATTCAATGTCACCAGGTCGCCTTGAACTTCAACTCAACTCCTCTACCAACCATCAGATGTTACTTCATCTACGTCCGTGCGCTTTGCAAGATCTCACTCCCTGCATATAAAATGCTGGATTGTTTGGTGGTCCACGGGATGACCATATCTAATTACGAACTGTATCCATCCTTCGCCGAGCTCGAACTGCTCCGTCAGTTCCATCGAGGGAACCGGAGAAATGCTCGCCCCACTGCAGTGCAGCAATCAGGGCTTTTCTGCTCAAGTGCTTCTCACAGCCGACATGCAAATGACACGTTGCGTCCAGTACTCCACCCAAGCCAAAACCACAACCTTTTCTGTAAATGAAGTATGATATAGTATGATATAAATTATTTGATGCTTGAATCATGGTCAGATTGTACCCTAAAGTGCCCTAATTAGTTTTTCTAGCAGGCAAACTTGGTCATACATTGTTTGCGTCTGTCCGATTATTGTCTATCTGAGCTGGCCCCCAAACAGCAGCATAGCAAGTAACATTAAATGTTGGTTTGCCGTCACACTCGAGCAGTCCCGAACTGCTTGCCAGATATCAACATATCATATCACTAGCTGCGCGTTGGAACTTGGCATGTCCACAGGCCAAAACTACATGTCGCCGTGTCGCCGCTTGCCAGCACTGTTTTCTTGAACAATCTATTGTCCACATTTTCGGCACCCCAAAATCCAGGCTCTAAGTTTTGTGCCGTGGCAGTAGTGAACCAACTGTGGGATCCTTATATCCTTTAAGCAAGCTCCAAGCACACGAGATGGAGGCAACCATGGCCAAGGCAGTGGTGCTCCGAATGCGCTCCACCCCAGTGAGTCTGGCAGAAAATGTCAAGAAAGCTGGCACTGCTAAATTTCTGTTCATCTTCTTTGTTTCCTCCAGTTCTGCTCATCTTCCCACCCAAACTCACTGCCAGGTCTTACTTCCCAGGCTCTGCCGCGGAGGGTCCAGCGCCGTGGGTCCAGGTGATGGTGGCGCCGTCGGCGCCGATGGCACCGGCGCCGAAGCTGCAAACGGTGAACGGCTGCCTTAACGGTACGAGGGGACTCAGTGGCGAATTCCAAACGACCAGAAAAGCGATTGGCCAAATCACTGGTATTTGGGTGGACAGGTATTTGTTCAGCCAGAACATGGCAATTTGGGGTGGTCAAATTGGTCAAATACACATGATTCATGATTAATATGTTGTGTCATCATGGAACTTTTTGAGCCCGTGTATCTGGGATACAGCTGTAAGAAGAATGTCAACTTCAAGAAAAGCCAGGGTCTCAGGATTGATTGCTCACTAGCTTACCTTCCCAACATATATATATATATATAGTTGCAGTTCCCCTCTCTCAAAAAAAGAGCTGAGGACCCCAACCCATTAAAAATGTATTAGGCGCGCGCGCTCAAGTCTCTCTTTCGGCAACCTAAACGTGGCCAACCCCTTGGGAAAGCATCCTCAAAACAATGAAACATAAATAAAGCACCCATGTCATTTCAGTGTTCCACCCAGGCTATCCCAACAAACGCAACAGCATCAGCAGCTGGCACAAATCTCTGAGCATTGTCGGAATCCAACACAACGAAATGGCTTGCAACATGCAGGGGGGCCGGTCTAGCCACGTCCATTCAAGTAAACTGGTGGGAGTCCAAGCTCACACGCTCTCTTGCACAAATACCTCGCCACCTACCTGATAAGACTTTGATTTTACAAATCATCTGGCTCGGGAGCTCCAATCCTGATGTTTAGGCCCAGAACTTGTATCACTATATTCAAAGGCAAAGGAGCTTAACCTCCTCAACTTGTATAATTGTTTATCACCACCAATCGAGGATCATCTACTTACCACCAATCGAGGATCATCTACTTTGCAACGCTTTGAGAAAAGCAACAACAACACCTCACACAGGGACGTGTGGGCATCCAACACCCAGCTGGTCATGCAACTGCATGGGAAATGACACATCATTACCAACACATCAAAAACGTTCAATGAGTGATGACTGGATCATCCAACATCATCCCCATGTGAGCTCGCCCGGTCGGAACCACAGAGCTCCCGAGGTACACGTCCTGCAGCAGCTCCTGATGCGACTCCTCCGGCGCGAAGTCGCCGTGGCCCCAGGTGACCACACGGCCATCGCTGCGGATCGCCGCGAAGGCATGCTCCGCCGCTTGGATTTGCTCCACGTCAAAGAGCCTGAGGAAGGTCCGGTCGTGTCCAGGTCTGGATTGGTTTGGCAAAGCAGGGGCAAAGGGGCAGAGGGCCAAGGGGGTGTGGAGGTGGGAACATGTGTGAACTAGGGGTATTTCTTTTAAGGGGGGGAACGGTGAGCAGGACTCTGGGTGTGTGCAGTGCAAAACCAGCTAAGCAATCTGCGCGGCTTACAATACGAACAATACTTGTGAGTTGTAAGCTGTTGGTTCGTCCAAGTCTGTCCAACAATAGATTTGAAACCACAAATTGAGCCTTCACAATTATGGGCTCATCACAGTGCAAGTGATGGACAACATCCTGCTAGAAAGCATCCAGAAACCATTGGAGCCTCCACTAGGTTCACTAGATTAACTTCCTATCAGTTGCTGGAGTTTATGTTTATGACTTGGTGGAGAGGCGGACTTTCTTCTCTTTCGCCTTGTCTCATGAGACTTGGGGAGCGGTCAAATGGTGGAAGAAAAGAACCGCAAACAAAGGAAGCCCAACAATTGGCTGCAGCAAGCAGCTAACCAATCAAGTGGGAGATTGAAAGTTCTCTGCGGCATGGCCTGGCCCTGAACCTGGAACATGTCAAAACGTATTCAATCATCGCATCCTGCCAGTTCGCTCTCCGAATTGAAGTCGATCGTGTAGAAGACTTGCTGCACAAAGAATGTTTGAGTGCCCTATGCGCATACATTCCGCGATATCAAACATCTAAAGGGACAACTGCAACCACCACATGAAATCTCCCAAGCGTGCCTAAATTCAAGCAGGAGAGATCAACTGTCTGACCCAGGTGGTATCCAAGCAAGTCAGTTGGCTCGCTTCAAAGGTCCTCAAAATTCCCGATGCACACCAAACAACACAGCTCTGAAAGCTGGAAATCCTGAGGCGACGAAACAAGTCACAATCCCTTGCCCCCCCCCCCTCCATGATGGCCCGATAGGACACCCAGTTTGAGTCTTAGTGATCATAAATCACACTACCCTGCACACCCAAACCCAAAAAATATGTGTGTAGATTCGTAGATGGAAAAGCATGTTTTTTTTTCACATAATCTGGGTTTTGTACGTGATTGAAAAATACAGCCGGAGGTTTTCAGAACAATCCCGAGATACGTGTTTGATTTCACAAAAATACTAAAGTGTCGATTGAGACCCTACACATCTGTAATTTAATAAGTAATCATTGATGCCCTCCTCTGTTCCCAAAACTCCAAAAAAGTAGTTCTAACCGACGAGGGCCTTGTGACCAAACCGGGAATATCCATCACATTCCCCACCTGAACTCGTTGAAGAAGCTAGTATAAGCTAGTAGAAACAAGTGCATCGCTACTGTAACAAGTGCCTTACTAGTAGTAACAAGAAGCTAGTAGTTGATTTAATGAACTCGTTGTTTGGGTCCATTGGTCCGGTCGTTCTTTGGCAGTTCCGAGCGACTGATGTTGCACCATCTTGCTATGCCCTCCGGAGCCCGGATCTCCCCAGGTCACGACCCCACCGTCCGACCTCAAGACGAGGGGCGGACGGTGGAAGACCGGAGACGAAGGTGCTGTTAGGGATGAGTCTAGATGTACTGAGAGACAAGGTCCATCTCCAATAATCCGTAGATGCAACAAACCAAAATAGCAAAACCGTCCAGCAATGTGACTCTCCCTTTAACTGCCAGTTTTGAGGGCGTCCCAGTCCAAATCTTGCAAATATTCGATGAGCATAAAACGAACATGCATCTGGTCACACCTGCTCCAAGAGTTTCAACTTTGTAACACAGAAGCCAAAATAGACAGTCACATGTACATATAGCAATTAGTTATATATGCATAATATATATATATAGTTGTGTGATTGCAATATGACTCCAAACACCATCAAGCACCCACCAGGATGACCAGGAATTCGGAACTAAAAGAGCAACAAGACTGCATCATACACTATAAATACACTTGTAAAAATCTCACCCAAGGTCTCCTGGGTACCTCTCTCATCGGTAACTGGGCCCTGGCGCCTGGTTCTCTCAAGACCGAGTCCACCGGTCCGGTTTGACCGTCTCCACCGTCTCCACCGTCTCCCGCCTGAGGGCCGCGAAGGAACCTCGGGCCGAGTGCCGCGAGGCTTGGATCGCAGTGATGTGCTGGAGCCGGTCCTGCAGCTCCGACGGCGTTCGGGTGCCGAATCAGAACGTCGTCAGGATGAAAGGGGTGAGCAGATACAGTGGGGCCGAAAGAGGGGTCTCAGAGATGGAGGAGTCTTAGCAAATTGGGCCGAAATAGGACTTCATTAGGCTTCTTGCGCTTCTTTCAATTTCACCGAAAACGTCCAGACATGCCAACGATCCCAGGTGGATCTGGACTTCAAACAGCCTCCGAGGGCTCTGTGCTCCTGGACGTGGCTGCTATCGCCTCCAGCGTGGGGAGTTCCCCGGGTGACCACCGTGCCATCCCGGCGGATCGCGGCAAACGCCAAGGCGGAGGCTTGGATGTGTTCCTCGGAGGAACACAGAATGCTGGATGAATAGAGTCTATATCCCATTACCAGCAACAATGGATGATGATGATGATGATGAGTAATGAGTAAAGGCATTTCTCTAACATAGTGAAATAGCCGTTTATCGAATGTTACTGGTATTACGTAGTAGGACAACCCCCCAAAAGATCCACGTGTGTGAAACATCATTGAACCATTCCAACATCAACTGATCCATTGATCACTGGCCCAAGGCTCTACATTGATCAACTGATCTTGGACGTAGCTGCTCTCACCTCCGCAATCCGGATCTCCCCAAGTTACGACGGATCCATCTGCTCGAATGGCTGCGAAGGCCTTGGAGGTCGCCTGAATGTGTCTCCTTGGAAAACCGAGGAGAACAACATCAGTTTGCGGCACGTGAATCTCAAGAAACCAGCAAATATTGCTGTTGAATTGAATGGACTTAAAGTTGTATAATAGGTCGACCGTCAAACCTCGCCTTGCAAGGTAACACACACGTCTGCGAAATGACGGCCGCTGCTTGCAAACACAGTCCGTGTCGCTAATTCTGTGCTTCTGGGCTCCATCAATGCCACCAACATCCAAAAATATGTAAAAATCATGTCATGCTTTTCTGCTACCGCGATTTCCAGGCGTGTTCCTTCACCTTTTAGTGCAATTATGTGCAATTTGCTGTTTCTTCTCCTCACGTTGTGTCTGAGAGGTGCTTTGAGAAATGAGTGTGCACAGTGCACTACAGTATAGAGATTTACAGGAGTGCGCTGTCAAGCGATGCCCAAAAAGTTCTGCATTCACCGGTGAACAGCTTGCCCTCACGGCAAGTGCTCTGCTTTTGGCAGTCAGTTGAGTTGCAACGCAACATCCATCGTCTCCGCAGTCTCCACTGTTGTATTCGGCAGGTCATGAATCAATGCATATACTCAGTGATTGATTCACAAGCTGGTCTAGCAGACCCATTCAAAGCTGGTGATAGACCCAGTGATAGCTGGTCTAACTACAAACCGTTTGTTTATTTAAACAAACATGGTCTACCCAGCTTTCTTGGACCTTGAAAACCCAGAACGAGAGCCTCGTAGAAGCGGAGATGAAGATTCGCGTCTGTTCAGCCCAAGCGCAGCTGACATATCTGTGGTGAATTGCAGGCAAATCCTATACAGTCACCTAACCGTATTTGTTAACAAAGTTATACAAACATCACCACAGTTCCGTGATGCTTTTCTTACCGCTAACCAGTGGAATCGGAATCGGGCACCTTTCAGAAAGAGGCGGCGCACAAACCGTAGATCCCATACGTAGAATCATAGGACCATTCGCAATGTCTGGGCCTTTGTGCCTCGTTCACCATGCCCAAAGAATTCATTTCTTCTTCACTTGGAATCCTCCCAAAAAACTACTTGAGCCACTCTAAAAACCTGGAGTCACTCCCTATGTCGTATCACTTTCCTTGCGCGAGGCCTTACGCGCTGCTTACGCGGCCCTCACTTTTGCTTACGCAGAGCAAACTTCCGAAATGCTTACGCGAAATGCTTACGCAATCTTACGCAACCGAGGGTATTGCTTACGCGGAATTCGATATGACAAGGTCCTTACTTAAGATGTAAAGGCAGGTTATTAGAGCGGCTCACTTGAATCAATGATGGTGGGATGAAGTATACCCGTACCTGTTACCGGAACAACCACCACAAAACCTGCCTTTTTCATCCTTTTTCCATTGTTCTCTTTCTCTAGACTCTACTGGTAGGTGATGAGATCTCCGACCTGCTCCCCTGGCGAACGCCGAGGTGCACGTTTTCCAGCTGTGCCGCCACCTCCGTACTGTCAGCGCCATCGCGATCGCTGCCCCAGGTCACCACATGACCATCGTGACGCAAAGCGGCGAACGCGCTCTCAGTGGCTTGGATCCTCAGTGGTCACCGGTGGCAAGAAAAAGAACAGGTATCTAACAGCCGTTGGATTGATTTTTGCAGTTTCTTCGGGGGAAAGGATCCAGTCAGTTACGGTAGGTTGGTCCAAACACCATCACTTCTTTTGTATTCCTTTAGTGACTTTTTGTCATAGTCTTGCGGATCCCCACACTTTTGGATCCTAACCAATCATACTTCAGCACCTTAAGGACCTGCTGTTTGACCATGCAATGGGAGTACTGAGAAGCCAGAACTTCCCTTCCCGGTCAAATGGCTGGGAACCTATGGAAGGAGTGCTGAGTCCAAATGGAAGGATCTCACAGTCTAAGAAATCATGGGCGGGCAGCACCTAGGAACCCACCAGGAACCTACCATGGGATGTTTTTTAGGATTTCGTCCCACAGGACCTCCTGCCACAGTCGTCCCTCTGCTGCCCTGAGTCGACTGCACATTGCGCAAGTCATCCTGCACACTGCTGCAGTCCCCACCACTATGGGGGATGCCCCAAGTGACCACCGTGCCATCGTGCTTTAAGGCAGCAAATGAGCCGCCAAAGTGAGTGGCTTGGATCCTGGGAAGCGCAGCATGCGAAGCGCATGTTTCAAACATCAGTACAGGGCTACCCCAAAATCCTGTTTGGTCAGTGTATAGTTTTGTGAGCCTCTGCACGAACGAAGTGAAACGAACTGACTGAGCGAAGTAAGCGGCAATCATTTTGAAAAACTATATATATATATAAGTTATTCAGAATTCAACACAAATAAAAGAAAAACATATCCCGTGTCACGCAGGCGAAATGAAGATGGACGGATGGGAACTCATGCTTGCCAAAGCAGTCAGTCCAAAAATATCGAAAACAATTACACTAAAGTCAATTAGTTTTGGCATGTTTTGGACAGTTTTTTTTGGTAAAGAACAGGTGTTGCAGTCAAATGATTGGACAACCAAAAGCTTCTAGAAAGACAGAGTTTTTAGCCCAACGATACCACATTTCTACAGCCCAGTGGAGCCGAATTAAGGAGTCCCACCAATCACACAGGAGCCGCAGGGCCAAGAGATCCAAACTCAGTTGGAACATGTTGGAACCAGCTGCGACAAGGGCCGTCGCTGGGCCGTTGCCCAGCTCAGCTTTCGGATACAAACCTCGCAAATGAGGAATCACCGTCGCCGAGTGTTGATGGAGTGAGGGTGGACGAAGCCCGACTGGCTCCAAATCTGCTGAACACCTGAACATGCCCACGGTCAATCCAAAGGATCTGCTTCACATTTGTCAGCTGTGCTCGCAAAGCGCTGCTGTCCTCAGTCATCATTGTGGTCTTGGCATTTGGTTCAAAAATACCTATCTTTATCTGCATGCCACTGCATGCTAAGGCTATAAAATATGATATGTCTCGTCTTTTGTGGAATTCCCCAAGGTGAACGCTCACGACTTTCAACGAACAAACACTTTTGCCGGCTAGCAATCCAAGTGTCGCCCCCAGCGTGAGGAAGGCCCCAGCTCACCACCCGGCCATCTTGGCGCAAGGCAGCAAAAGCGGCCCCAAAAGACCACCTCGCAGCTATGAAGTCTGCTGAGTGTGGTGGGTGTAACTAGTTCTTAGGGAGGCGTGTGCTCGGGGTAGCGGAACATCATCGTTGTCAATGCCTGCAATGGGCTCTGTATGGAAGAGCTTTAGGCGGAGAAGTTCTGAGCAAGCCGTTGGGTCATGCTTCGGGCATGCTACTACAAAATGTTGCGAGAGCAGTTTAGTGTTTAGCAAACACATTGGTCGGGAGTCGGGAGCACCGGCCAATTGCACAGCATCATGGACTGCTCCCAGACGTGAAAAGTTTCAAATCAATGCAATCAATTCGCTTGGAGCATCATGAGCATGTCACCAGTTTCATCCTCTTCTGTCTTCCTCCCATCAGGCTACCAGTTCGGAACTGCGTGCTCCGCACTGACCTGCCCATGGAACGGAAGGCCCCGGCCTGGAAGCATGAATCGCTTGCACATCTTTCAGCTGATCTTTTTGTGCCCGGCAGTTACCACCATACCTCAGAACTGAACGGCCATGTCTTCCTGAACCGCCCCACCGGAACCAACGAACTTCCAGTGGCTCTTGGAGAACCGCGCGAACTCGACGTCCATGTGGGCATCTCAAGGCCCATCTTTTGGCGCCTACGTTGAGTGTCTGTAGCACCGTAGCCACATAATCAGGATTCCATAGCAGCCGTAGCATGTCTACTAGCATCTCTCTCTAAATTTGTGATAGGAACTGAAGTGGGCATGGTTCTGTCCGGCCATCTGGACTTTGTTGCCAGGTCCCGGTCCTCCATCTCCCCAGTCCTCTTTGGGTCCTAGTCACATGTCATCGCCCCAGGTCACGACTGTGCCGTCCGTCTTGATGGCGGCAAAGGCCCGCGAAGAACTCTGAATGGCAACCACATCCTGAAGCCTCGGAACGGCACCCGAGTGGTGAGACGAAACAACTCTGCTACGAAGAGTGGTTGAGAGGAAAAACGTTGAAAGACAACACTTCGTTGGCTACGAAGTGGATGGATGAGATTTACCATGAGAAAGTAAATGATGTGATGTGGACGGGCAATCGTGCAAACCACATTATGTTTTTGTCATCGCCTCTTTGCATGCACCTTGGAGTCCTACCTAGAAGGGCATCTAACAAACCAAATCTATCTGGTTGCAGAGGAAGCAACAATTCACAAGCAAACAAGTTAGTTGCCAAACTACTCAAATGCAACATTTGAATCCTTGGGAAGACTATGCAACACTTATACACATACTGCACGCAGCTGTCTATGAGGATGTGCAAGTGTGTGTCACTGTGTGTCGCATTCTGGTCCCCTCAAGCCATCGACGGCCGAAGTGGTAGAAGATCGACGGGTCTGACATGAGGATCCGCACCCACTGAGGTCTTGGGCATCGCCAAGGGATGTTCACCCGAAAAAGGTACCCTCCAACTTAGCTGTCCATGTCCAGTGGTCCACCTCCACATTCCACCGTCCCGCACCAATAGGTACATATTCCTTCCTCAGAACTCGAAGGGCTCAAATCCCCAAGAATGTTGTTGGCCAATCCGTATTGTAGACCACCACTTGGGATTTTGAGCCAACAGTCCTGAAGGGGGTGCATCTGCCAAGCAACAAAGGTTGGACTCCTTTGCTGTTGCCACCATCGCCAATCCGCCCCCAGGTCACAACACTACCATCAGAGCGTATCGCTGCGAAAGCGTGCCTGATTGGGCTGCGATCCGCTGATTGAAGCAAAAGGGAAGATCTGAAAAAAAGAAACATTGGGTTTTCTTCTAGAGAATACCGACCGACAGTGCGGCGTATGCATCTAGTAAAGCACGTGCTGCATGTGAGACAAACACATCATACTACACATCATATAGATTCATAGTGTGTGGAGAGGAATCGGTTGGATATAGGAGAGCATGCACCAATGTGAGCATGAGCAAGTAAGAACGCCCAGAAGTTGCATGGCTGATGACCTTGTAATCTGGCCACAGGTCACACGTAGGTACCAATTTTGGCTCCTAAGTCCAAATCTGACGGGGGCTTGTTCGTACATATTCCTTTAAAATTACAGTAGTCATTAGTGACAGTGATGCCCCGGACTGATCTAAAATTATCGATGTAGTATATCTATATGTTGGTTGCACAAGTTATACATGACTTGGCCAAACAGCCGTCCAAGCACAACCACCTCCCAAACGATTCTGACAAGACACATGGAAGTCCCTTTATTCCGCACTCCTCTTCTAGAACAGGACCACCACATGTTACCACTGCCCAGGTAGGTAGGACATCCACCTCTTCAAGCATCTTTTTGTGTGCCCACTCCCAGCCACAAACATTAAAGCTTTCATCGGCCAGCTGCAGCGATGATTGGATTTGATTAACATCCTTCAACAGCTCTTGCACGGAACTGCTGTCCCCCCCATCCTCAGTGCACAGCTTTACGATGCTTTACGGGCCTGCAGCATGATGACAAATCGTGTCTGACCAAAGCTGGTGCTCGCAGAAACACTATGCACCAAAAGTTCCACATGGGTGCGAATTGGAGGTTGCCCAACCCACAATGGAAACAGTTGTCGGACATCTCGTGCAAACGAACTGGGCGAACTCGTCCGTCGATGAGATGTCGATGAGAACTGACATGTACAAATGCACGGCTTCAAATCCTCTGGTCTACGACGTTTACTGCAAAATGTGAAAAACACATGTGGTTAACACTTTCCTGAACACCCAATGGACATCAGCACGTCACGTGGTTTGGGAGTTCTTTTAGAGCCGGTCAGCCTTTCCACAAACTGTCAGGGACATTGAGGTGCGATGCTGTTTCCATAATATGCTTCCGAAGAAAGTAGTGGGAGACGCTCACCTGCAAAGGACAACACTTGCCACGAAACCGGCAACTATGAACAAAGTGCGCCTTAGGGTTAAAGAAGCCTCCGAAACAAAGATTTCAAGGACCGCACATATACAGTATATAATCGCCACATGATCCACACATCACCGCTTCCCAGAATGGCCCATGGGACACCTGACACAGGACACCCAAATGACTCCGACACCTTCATCTGTCCTCGCCCGAGGGTCGATCGGATTTCCCCAGGTGGCCACTGTGCCGTCTGAGCGGAGCAGCGCAAAGGCCAAGGCCGAGGAGACGAGCTGTGCCTGTCCTCCGAGACGAGGAGGGTGAGAAGGTATGGATGTATATAGTATAGGGGATCTGCTAGTGCTGGTGCTGCTGCTGCTGCTGCCGCTGCTGGTGGTGGTGGTGGTGGTGGTGGTGGTGGTGGTATATAAATTGAATATGATTGACTAGGCAAGTGCCTACCTGTACCTGCTGTTGGGCAGAGTAAGCAAGTCCTTGTGTGAGAGGATCTCCTTCAAACAGCTCAGCCACTGCCCTTCACTGTGCAGGTAAGAAAGTTCAAGATTCTTGTCTGTATAAGTCGTTGGACCCAAGTCATGACGAAATTAATGACATGGACATGGAGTATATAATTAGTGTTGTTGTTGTTGCTGTTGTTGTTGTTGAGTTCCCCCAGTCAACCACTGCTATTGCACGTCAAACCAAGCAATCAACTAACGTTTTACACTCACCGAAAAACGTACAGGTGCCAATAAGAAAGAAACTCATGGGGTTCTTGACTGCCAAACACATTTTCCAGTCATTCATTAGAAGACAGTGTACCCATTTATATCCATTTGTATGTGTAAAGATCCTTGACATGTCACCATGCAATGATATACTGTTTGCACATTGTAAAGGCACATTCTTCCGGACCCATGGCCAATGACGACCCCTCCGGTCTCTGTTCTTCTGCCGCGTCTCGCACGTGCGCGGTCAATGTGGCACCCTCAGAGAGCCGTGTCTGGCGCAGCGTCGACATGGCTTGAAGGATGACTCCGGACCTGAGCCGAGCACAAAGCTTGAGCGGGCGCACATCGGTGATCGCTGTGTTTCAGCGATTTTGGAGTGTAAGAGCTTGACAAGTGCAAGCAGGGAAGTATCAGGCCATGGATAAGAACATCTAGCTGTCTACGTACCACATTGCAAGTCTACCCTTTGTTGCAGCATGAAAGTCGGTGCCCGTTTTAGTTTTAGACAAGCACAATCAAGCACACGGTAAACAACATCCTCAGCGTTGTTTTCATTTGTTTTCATTATCTTTGACTCATGAGAACTCCGCCAGCTCCAACCTGCGCTTTTTTCGTGGGTGTCGGGTCGAACCATATGTGTCTATAGGCTATAGGTTCTCGGTCGACTCCAAAATCGAAGACCGGGCGACTCAGTGACCAATCGTTCCAAGCCCACTTTCAGTCCCAGCTGTGCTTGAAGCCGCAACTCCTGGAGCCCATTGTTCGGAGAAGTTGACCCGTGGAGCTGTACACAAACACCCTCAATCTGGGGAATTGGGATGCTCTCCATGGTCTTTGCCAGTAGTCCAGTCAAAATTAACCTAAGTCCGACAGCACAGACCGGTGCACCGACTGTTGGAGCCTGCTCCGACACGAACGAAGTCGGAGCACCTGTCGGAGCAGGCTCGACCGTGTCGGCGCCGAATCGCTGGCAGCTCCTCGACGGTGGACTCCAAAGAGCTGGAGATGGTGACGCTGCGGCCGCTCAGCAACGACACCGTCAGTGTGAGCGACATGGCGCGGCCGCTCGCCGCCGCGGGAGTCACGGGACACCACGGCGAGTGTGGCACGGTGGAGTGGGTGTTGATGACGGTTTAGTGGGCCTTTCGTCAATGAGTGCCTTGAAGGCCCGAAGGTGTGCAAAGCTGGGGGCGTTCATCGGCTGGGTACTTATATTAAGTACATTTAAATACAGTACTCGCTAGTGTGGGAGTGCTGCAAGGAGCAATTGGCCCATTTCGAGCTGGTTTAAACTATGGCCCGGGTGGGGAGCTGCCACTCAGTCATAACTGATTTCTCGAATCAAGGACGCTTGAGGAACACTTTGGGACCTAACAATCCCCCAAGAAGTATAGTTGTAGTCTTAATTAGCTTTAATAGACAAAATTCACCTTATATATATATATATATGTTGTATGTCTCCCAAAGGGAGGCCATCGTGGCAACCGTGCCAATCTTCAAAAACCATAAACATCAAATTGCCCACTGCTTTTCCGCATCTCTGGTAATTTAGACCCACTACAGGCATGCTATATATATAGATTATTATATTATGTAAGCAGTGAAGAGAAGTTGATCCAATGCCATTTATGGTCTTTCTCTCTTTTGGGCGACCCAGGTTCTTGGTCTGGTCTTTGTCTTCGGCCGCTTCGGCGTTGCTTCGGTCTGCTTCTGAGTTACTAGTCGCTTCCAGCAGGTTCGCTCTGGAACCCGCCCGATCGCATGGTTTGATGTCACATCTTGAGATGCAGGCGGGAAAAATTTCCTGGCGGCTTCAGCAAACACCAAAGAATTGGAAAGCTGTGCGTCCTACTCAAGTACTGAGGGAGTCATGTTAAGCGGTCTGAGAGCAAGTTTGATGGAAGACATCCAAAAGCGGAGACGTCACCATGGATTCGTGTCTTGGCTACCCTGGCGCGCAAGAGTTCCCTCGCACGAAGTGGCCGGTTCGTGGGCCTCAGAACTTCAATCCATCTGAGTCTGAGAAGACTTCCAGTTTGAGATGTCGCCAAAGACTGGAGCACAGAACGGTCCATGTTGGCATTGTTTGAGAAAACTCTTCAGTTGAAGAGTTCGAAGCATAGCTTGGGGCGCTCTTGTCATCTTTCATCATCTTTCCTCCAAAGCCATCCAAACTCTATCATTGTCTTCCAGGGTGATGTCTCTCTCGTTGTTTCTGTATTCCGGTCGTCGCATAAACCAACAATTGCAAGGTCTCGTCAAGATCATGACAACATGCGCTTACCAATGCTTGGCCGACATCCGCCAAGCTCTCAGCATCGTAGCACGCAAGCAAAAAAGGGTTTCTGGTAACCACCCTGATCTGAGACAAAGTATTCATGTTCACCAAGTTTTTCCGGTTGAACAAACGAACTAATCAGCTCGCTGGTTTTACAACAATTGGGAAAACATTTGGGAACCATCTTGCACCATATCTTGAGAAGGCACTTGATTCATGCAAAACAAGTATCTCTCCCTCATCTCCAAAGACATCACCGCCACATTGATGTTTCCCACGTGGCGCCCCACACGTTTCGATGGCGATGTGGCGCCTGCGTGTCCTGCACAGAAAACATCGAGAAGAGGGTCAAACAAAACAGGACCGATCCACACCTCCTGGAGAAAAAAAACATGGAAAAACAAGCACAGTGAGGCACCTTCTTTTTTGGGCCAAATATCCTGCTTCCGCTGTGCAAGTCGACCCAAAAGACGTCAACCGGGCCGGTCGTGTGGGTCAACTTCTCTCGTCTGTCGCTGTCGCCGATTGTAAACATGTCGTCGGAGCCCGTATATGGGTCACTATAGCCAATGCCTAAGCATGAGAGACCACGAGGCTGTGAAGATCATGATTGCGGCACTGCACCCATCAACTTTGTGACTTAGCACTCACACACACACACTTGAGAAGGTTGCTCCGTGGAGCGTGATTTCAGGTAGCTTCGCGGTGTGCATTAGCCCTTTAAATCTAGTTACTGCAGGAAACAACGTATGAGACAGCGTTGCACTGACTTAGAAATCTCAGCGACTAAACAGTGGAACAGTTTGAAAACAGTTCACATAGCAGGTACAGGAATGTGCGTCCACATTCCCTTCCGGCTGAATCCCGTAGCTTCGTTGGCATGGCTAGGGAAACAGCTGCCATGCCCCCTGCTTCTGTACAAAAAGCTTGTAGGGTAGATTAGAAAAACTAGGGTAGTGTCCTTGGAAACAGGAGTGGACACACACACACACACACACCCTGAGCACTGCAGAATATGATTGAATCGGTCCAAGCGGTCAAACTGAGGTCCAGGTGGGCACATTTCCACAAAAGGATTGACGACACTCAGCGTAGACATTTCATTCCGTCCGCTGGCCTCCTTGGAATCAGCTGGGGTGCTGGGAGGGACTGGGACTGGAGCGCTCGGCGCAAGCGAGCCTGCAGAACAGCGCTTGAATAAGTTGGCTGATCGTTTTTGTTCTCCCTCGGGGTGGGTCAAACAAAGCTTAACATAAACATCCAAAACATATTGAAGCTTCTATAATTATATATACACACACTGTATGACTATATACCATCACCACTCGAAGATCTCGAAGGGTTGTTTTTTTGGATGGATAATGCATAGTCAGGGTGGTACGGTCAGTCCTTTTCTGGGCCGCAGGATGGTGCAGGGTTGAGAATCTTGGTATATAATCTATATAGGTGGTGACTGTCTAGCATAGCCCAGCTCGAATGAGGTGCATCGTCACGTACCACTCTGATGCAACTGGATGTTGTGATCCATACTGCATCCTCCTTGGAGGCTTAGGTGATAGTTCAAAGATAATCCAATTCCTGCAATCAACACGTACCGGATGGGTTGATTACCTAACAGACCGTTGGGATTATCCAGGTACAGTTGGATAACACAGACTGAAATACAGGTACAGTTGGATAACACAGACTGAAATACAGTACTGTGAATTCACAGGACTTTTAGTATGGTATAGTTTAGCAGTCTTGGACAAGCGTACACTGCCAAAAAGAAACAAATATGCGTGATGTTTGGTGCAATATGCACACATATGCATGCACATACACATAACTAATCATTACTGCATACCAACTGGTTTAGGAAACTTTCGGAATCATGTCTCCCCGACACTCCTCCATCTTCTATTTGAGGGGGCTCGTTGGGACAAAGCAATTGGAGTGAAGATGCGTAGTAGATGGTTGGGAAAATGATGGGAAATGAATCGAAAACGATTGAAGTGGCTTATGAATGGTTGATGAAAGATGTACCCCGCAAAGACAATGACCTGCCAGGTCGTCCTGGTGGGATAGCTGCCTGGACCTATGAGGGGGGTTCCTCACATGTTGGTGCCAGGGACAAGTACACATGCCTCCAGTCGTCTTGTTTCACCAAATGATTCCCCTTCCTCTCCATACTCCATATATTCTGAGCAAGGCACATGGTAGAGGTCGAGGTGTAAAGGACCTGCTTGGCTAGCGCAGGTCTGCCAGTAAAAGAAGCCATACAAAGTGTCTGTTTATGCATATGCCAAGCACCATGGACATACATTGCTGGTTGACAAAGAGTATTCTACACATATGACGGAATTATTCATATAATCATGATGCATATATATATATATATGTATACATACAGTATAATATGTAGTCTTATGATAGTAGGTTTGTGACATTGAACTACATCAAATACATGAATTCTACTCTTGAGCCCACTCTATTGAAATCATGTTCTCTTACTTCACCTCCGGCAAAAATGCTTCAGGCCATAGGACCACTCCAATGCACCCACTTTCTCCCACCTTGGATTGCTTGGGACGCTGGCCTTGGTCCGTCCCACGTTGGAACAAGAAAAGGGATAGCACCGATTGCTGGGCACGTGCCATGGGAAACAAACATGCACTTGGACCCTTCTGCATGTTGGTCTCAATTAATCCTTCGGGACACCCCAAGAAGTGCAAGGCCTAGCAAACCTGACCTTCCAGAAGTCCATGCAGAATGAGGCAATGAGGTTGGTAGATTCACCTAGGTTATCAAACTCATTCAAACTCTCAAGCTCTGACTCGAGGGCTCAATATTTCTGGTGTACACGTAAAGTGCTTGTTCTGATAGCATATCTGAATGGTCTGTATGTTGCGTAGAGCCGAAGCAGGTCTATAAAAAGGCCGCTGTTTACCAAGCTTGAAGTAGTCCGGCTTAAAGACTTTTGCCTCTTCTAGAAAGTAAGTCCTTTTCCCTTTTATGTCCTTTATTGCAATCCCCACGGGAATAACAAAACAGGGTTGGTTGCGGTGTCGTGTGTCATGTTGAATCCTTGAACCTGCTCACTTCGGGCACATGGCAGCCTGGCACGCTGCGCTTCAGAACTCCTCCCCCCCAACTGGGCCGCTCTTGCACTACTCGAGGCCGCCCCACTGCCTCGCGGCCGCGGGTTCAGGCGCACGGATGCGCACGGCTGCAGGGCGAAGTGAAGTCCATCAAATTAGTAATAAAAACGATTTCCGTGTTTCTTTTTTTCGTTCTTCTTTTGCAGCTTCTTGTTCCTAGTAGCTATTTGCTACTAGTAGTGCCCTTTGTTACTAGTAGCGATGCCCTTGTTCCTAGTAGTACTGCCAGGAGCTACTGGTAGCGTCCTTGCTCCTGGTAGCGATGCCCAACCTATTTGCGATGGCCTCCACCTAATAGCGTCCTAATTGTGCAAGATCCCCATTTTACAATAAACAACTCATTAGAAGCATGATGAAGCATGCCTGTGTTTGTTGCCCCTCCCCATTTCATTATAGAGTTATAAATTATATTGACAAGGGGATTTTGCAAGGGACTTCATCCTTTGATCGGTCAACCACATGGTATCACTGATTCTATCTGATTCTGTTTGCGATTCCGGGGGATGGGACATCCATCTATTGGAGCCGGTGGGCTCGTTGCAGGGTGCTCGGATTCATTCGCATGCTCCAACTTCACCAACGAGCATGCTCCGAATGGCCCCAAAACCCAAGTATATGGGGTGAACCCTGGTAGATTCGATCGATCCAAAGAAGCAAACTTACCCAGCGCAGGAAGAAACACTGGACGCATCGGCGCATCTGTTCTGGTTGTGTGTTGTTTCACCTTCTAGAACACATGCATCATCTCAAAGATGAAACTTGTGAAGGAAATGCACCAGGGGAAAAGCACGTACAGTAGTTTAAATTATGTGCAAATGAGGGGATCGAGCACCAAGAAATACAAACAACATAAACCTCCAAGAAGAAGTTCTGCTGCTCCCTCATTATATTGACAAAACGCAGCGCTTCTAGATCCTAAGCTACACAGTAATTACGATACAGACTGCACAAGGTCGGAGAATGACAACTCAAAGAACATCAAAGAACAACCCATTGTGGCCCCGTGCTTTGCCCATCAGTCCATCAAGCATACATGGCAATGCGATGTTTAGTGCCGTTTCCTTCGTGTTTTGCCCCAGCTTGAAAACCTGCTGGATGTTTCTTTCACACCTATAGGCATTAGCTCCCACATCACAACTAAAGAATCATGAGAAGGTTTTGCTCAAGGATGTCGAACAGTGATTCAAAAGGCCACTACCTATTCCAATGATGTATGGAGACAAACTGGGAGGCCACAAAACAATACACAGAAGACGTGTACACACTTTAGTGGCACGTCGCTCCATCAGTTGGCTCACCCCACCTGCTGAGGTGGGTGCAGCGCTCCACACATCCTCCTTGGGGTGAAGGTCTCTTGACTCCGACGTTCAAGTGATGGGTGTCTGGATGCGTCTGTTGTTTGCTTCTTCCTTCGCGCAATCGAAAGCATTGGGAGGAACGAGAGACGTCTGCCACAGAGCCAAACAAAAATCCCAAACAAGGAGCTTGCCATGTCGCTGTTTGTAAGACGCGCGATGCAGGCGTTTGTGCATTTCTGAGATTTGTCCCTGGGACCCTGGGAAAATACGGCAGGCCACTAGCAAGCACCTACCCCCATGGCGTTGGGCATCAAAAGCCCAAGTCATAATTAGTGCTTCTGCTGCCAATGGGGCTTACATATGCCATTGAAAACCCAAGCAAGGAAAAATTGGACTAGCCTGGTTACAGCATGCTTTCCGTGTGCTTGCCACGGTGGGATTTAAGCTGTGAAAGGAGGCTTGAGCAAAAATTGTATATCACAACTATTCCAACACATTTCAAAACCAAGAGCCAGGAATCCGCTAGTTTGGGATCCCTTTATCCTTTTGCAGGTTGGCTCAGATGGTATCCAAGAATCCAAGAATAGGAACAACTGTGGCGCGGCTTCAAGAATGTCCAAACCCTTTGGCACCAAAAGTATCCAAAAGTGCCAGCAGCTGAAGTCGGCCGCCTTGGTGCCCGAACCTCCACCATACCTGGCCGAGAACGCCGGCCACTCATCACTGTGTCCAATTCTAGGTCTTCCAGAAAGTTAGAACAAACATGTACTTGTCAGCCCGGTGAAAGATCTGGGGAAGGATGAAGTGTATCAGGAGAGATGAACGAAGCCGACAGCGAGCGAGCGAGTCGGAATGGCGAGGAATGGCAGCATCAGGGGTTTTGATCCAGCTGCCCTGACCAATTCCAGGAGAAAAATGCCTCCGGATAGCAAAAGCTTGTCCTGCCTTGTCCATCCTGACCCAAGAGCTTGTGACACCAACCCCTCCTGCCCCAGCCATGTTGCCTGGTGTGGGCGGCCGGCCTTTGGTTGCCTTGGTCAGTCGAAACGGGCCCAACCAACTCTTGATACCCGAAAAACGGCCCGCGCGAAAAGGAGGGCTGTTCATCCCAGTTTGTGAGTTGTCTGATCTCCATCTGATCATTATTGATCATGTTTTTGGCCCTCATTTGATAATAATGTTTCTAGTTCTAGTTTCCGAGTTCGTCCCAGCTGAGACAGCCTTTGGCAGCCCGGCCGACATGCTGCGGGTCAAACTGACCCGCGGTGCAGACCGCTCGGGCGGTGGGCTGCGAGGTGATGGTGCACGGGACTGGCACAGCTGCTCGCGCCTGGGAGGCAAAAATCCAACGGTGACGGTGACAGGAGCCCCGCCTCGTGGATGTGAAGGACAGCACAGGGCATTCCATGTTTCGAAGATGATGCCGATTTTTCATGATTTTTCGAGGGATACTGTACATTGCGAAGTCCATCTGGGAAAGGGGTTTGGCGGCAAGAAATCATCGGACTCAGGTCTGCCCCGTCCCATTTCTTCTCACATCTTGTGTGATCAGCTATGTGTGTGAGAATTGCTGATTGTGGTGATCGTGAATCGCGAAGCTGTGCAACAGTGTCGGATAAAGTTTCACTCTAGCACCATGTTGATCAACATGCTGCAACTGAGATTATTGGATGCATCGTGGCAACAAATCTCAAAGCTCACAGTGCTGGGGATCCGGCAATTCCACCACCTCTTCATACCTTAGCAGCAGCGCAGGCAAGGATGATCTGGCGAGACTCGGAGGTAAATGAATTCTCCAAAGTACTCCCACCAGCAAAAGTATGCCCCCTCCCCCAATAGTCTTTCAGTCGCTGATTCTCTTTGATTCATGGAGCATGTATTCCTGCCGCTCTCTGACTACACATGCATGTCGAGTCATATCTTTGCAGGCTGGAGCGGCTCCTCCATGCCCCCCCACCTTGGATGGATATGAGGACCGAAGAAACGCACGAAGGTACTGAAGTCTACCTGAAGCTCGTGGGGGTGCTCAAGTTTGTGCAGTTTTTGCGGAAAAATAAACATGTACAGTGGTTGCTGTGCATAGTGATTGCTCGAGAAGTGTACGGAAACGACCTCAAAGGTGAGATACAGTAGTACATGTAATATGTTATATATATAATATATATATATATACAAAAGAAACAAACTGGTTTAGGGCACGAGCTATCGGTTTGGGCCATCTGCATGTGGCTTTGGGATGTCTTCATGCTGGTTGCGGGGTCCATCGAATTTGAAACACTCGCAGTTGGCCAGAATGACTTGAATTGATCGCCTGCAATCGCCTGCCAAGCACACGGCCATCTGTATAAACAGTTCCAAAGGTGGTACCAATCAGTCGACGACAAACTCTGCACCATATACAGCAAGGTCTGAAAACGAGCTCACAACTATGTACATAGTATATTTAGTTTAGCGAACATGTGGCTCCGCATTGGTGTCGCGCAATGCCAGTTAGCCACCCACCTTGGAGAAAATTATAGCAGTAGTATGAATCTGTTGAATGCAATCATCGCGGTCCAGCAAGAATGAACGGGAACAATTCCTATCCATCTCGCAGTCTATGCTCTGAGAGAATGCTCGCAGCTAGCAAGGTATGGAAGATTCCTGTACACATGGCGGGTGGCTCCAAGTTTATGCCAATGAATTCGCAACCAGGCGGTCGCCATATGAACGAGACCGGGCCTCCTTCTGCCCAGGCAACAGCAGTGCGTTGTAGGTTTGCTCTCCTGGCACCGAATACCAAAGCCTAACAATCTGGCCAAAGACATAATCACAAACTACACTGAAAATGGACCTTTGGAAGACTATTTTCCTCTACAACCCAGTGGTTTTCAGGTTCCATGGTGATCTTCCAGGGCATACTATAGTTCTTCTTACTGTTACAATCTGTTACAGAATTGTCCTGTAGAAAATATCCTATGACATAGTGCAACTCCCAGGTTGTTCTATTCTGAGCCCTCAAGTGGCCACAATGTGTTCACAACACGGCGCAGGGTATATATATATATACTAGGTGGAAAGCTTTGCACCAGTTTGGATTGCCACCCGAGTGTTGGCAAGCACCTCACCCCAAAAGAGGAGGCCCGCCCTAAGTTCCACGAACTATCTGATTATGAGTCTTCCAGGGAAACCAACCCCTGGATCTAGTTGCTGGGCGCACCTGCAGCAGGTTTGTAGATCAGTCCAACCAGACATGACATGATTGAAATGCACTTCAGGGTGTGATTTGGGGACTCTGTGGAGCACTTCTCTTGAACATGCTGATCTCTCAGACGGAGGAGTGGCCGAATCTCCAGACACTCGCCTATGCAGGCAGGATAGCCGAAGGCCTCCATGAACTGGTTGCACTCAGTACCTGAAGTCGTTTGAATTCGATCTTCCCAGGGGGGATCAGTCAAACTATTCTCTCACAATCATGGCTCGGGATTTGCAACATATTAATCTTTTCTCAGAAACAAAGGATCTCAATAAACAGCAACATCTGGCCAAGCAGTCGCTCCTGGCCCAATAGTAGATTGTGACCGATTAGCAACCCGGTACTCAGTCTTGCAGTGCCCGTTTCCTGCTTAGAGCGGTTCCGGCGATTCTCCACACAGCTCAAGGGAGGGGATTCCTTCCCTCATGAAACAGACACGTCGAAACAGCAAAGTCGGCTGCTGTCGCAGTGCTGGATGATGATCTGGACGATTTCCACCATCCCCATGAAATAGAAATAACGAACAACATGGATAGCATGGGAGAACTCTTCCCAAATAGTGATATACATATATATATATATACAAAGATCGGATATATATATATATATATACGGTGTATTATTTTAGTTAAAAAAGAACAACCATCATATCAAATACAATAAATTCTCACCACCTGACCGCACCAGTCTGCACTTTGGGTCAAAAACCTGTACTACTTTCGCCATTGCACGTTTAGGCAAATGATGAGACTCTACAGTACAGGGATTGTCTTGCAGAAACTATCGAAGCCCATCAAATTACAACCAATGGTGTTCCCAAACTGCCAGTAAATCATAGATCTCAACTGCGTCCCCTGAAAAGAACAGATTCCTCACAGCCTCACAAATCTGAAATGGTCTGAACATCTTTGTGGTCGCTGCACTGCTTTAAGCTCGAGTGTCTTTATCTAGGAAAAGAACATGCTTGGGCTTATGCAGTGGAATGCTTTCAGAGCAAATGGCTTGCGCCCAGCGGTTCCCCTCGCCCACTCGGTTTCAATCGCCCAGTGGCGGGTGACAATGCCTGTCTTGGCTTCGTCCAACCAACGGAAGCAATCCCGGGTCTTCCGGTACCTGTCCACGGTCGGGACAGCTCGACCGATGGGTCGAAAGGGATGCGACGAGAAAGCGGGTCTCCAACGCGATGTGATGAGCTGGATGCCCAATATGGTACTAGTAAGAGTTTGAGCTGTTTGAAGATCATGTGCCAAACATTTTTCCAAGTCTCCTAGTTGCAGAAAACCATGGACAAAACTGCCCTGTGCCCGGTGGTGTTGGTGGATCACACGCACATGTACTATGCACTACTATATACTACTATGCACCCTGAATATTTATTATGCAACTCTGTTTGGCCAAATTGCGTGCTCAGAAGCATAGGCGGTCATTTCCCAGCAGCTAATTGAGTACGTTCCTCGATATACTGCTGGGTGGTTCTGCTGCTTTAGAGGAATCTTCCACATGCAACGTCATAACCCATCACTGCTTTGGGCATCGAATCTGTCATGCCACCCTTTCCTGAGTATGCACTTATTGTGAATATCTTTCAATATAAATATACGTATACAACTATATACTGTAATATACATATTTGTGTTATAATGTTATTGATAACCATATGGGCTCACAAACACCGTATATATGTATACTGCATATGGTGCACAGTATACGGAATACAGTATATTATCTACCCGCGCTTCAAGTTGCCAAGGCACTTGGCTTTCGCCTTGGCGCCAATGATGTCTGCCAGCTGGTTGAGGTCTACCTTCCCCAGTGGTCGGTGGCCAGGGCATTGGAGTGAGTGCGGTGGGTAGTGCATGCATCTTGTAGCCTCCCAGAACTTTGCGGCCAAACCAGCTTGCCATGGAACCATTTTGCATGTAAGTGCTCCTGCAAGTAGCGGCTCTGGATGGCATTGGCATGGCGAGTCTGGATTTGGTTCTGGCCACCCACCTACCATCTCGTCTCCCTCATGCGTCAAAAGCGAGCAAGCATCCAATACCAGAACATCTATGCAAGCTCCTGAATCTCCAAAGAAGTGTCTATACAGCTCAGGGTCAAGTCGGGGAGTGTGATCATATTGACAATCAAACCTGGCACCGCTCACTTTTGCATGTTTTTGCCCACTCGCTCACGGCAGGCTCGGCTTTTGTGCCGAAGCAACGTCCTGACTGACAAAACACGGTGCCATATACTGGCAAAAAACACGTTGCAAAACATGACGTCTCACTTGAAAACACCCTCCAAAACATGGACCGCATGGGTTATGATGATTGTCTTCGCTGTATTTAATCTCTGCATATCAAGCAGTGCGTTCAACAATGGTGTGGTAAAGGCCAATGGTTCGCAAACATTTGTGGCTCTGTTTCTCGGCCTGAGGGGCATGTGTAATTTTCGGAACTTGACATCGAAGCATGGATTGCCAGTTGATGCCACATTGGGAACAAAAAAGTGCCAGTTGATTGCCAGTTGATGATGGTTAGGAAAGGCCTTTCTCAAAAATAGTGATAATATGTGTTTACCGACTGCTACAGGTTATAGGATAGACCCACGGTATGACCCTTCCTATCAGTCACCAGGCTTCATGCTTTCAACCGGCCTGTCGGACAAACACCAATTAACCTACACATCCTTAACCTGAACATCAAATACCTAATCCAGCTCATGTCAAGTCCCGGTCCCAGGACAGTGGGTGGGAGCACCACCTATGAGGCTGGAGACCTTGAGCGACATTGCGCCCGTTCCAGCGCCCGTTCCAAAAGGCCCGGACGTCTCTACAGGTATGAGCCACAAGAACTTGCCCCTCATGCTGACTAGCTGAGGCTTTTTTCGGGCCCTGAATCCCAGCTACATGGATCCATGCCTGACTGAAGCTCAGCTTACTCTTTGCATATTCGACATGGCTCAGGGTCAACGCTTCCTTGAAGCTTCTAGCCAATTCCAGATTCATAGACCTTCCTCTTGGAGACGCGACATGAGGCTCCGTCCAATTGTTTCGAAAACGGAACACCCACCCACCACACTAGATTGACACGCCAATAATTTCATCTCCCCGCAGCAATGCGGGCACAAAGGCATAAAGAGGTAAGCTAAAACAAACAGCAGCTGAGCAGATTACTTAACCCCCACTTTGCAAACAAAGACTGTGCACACACACACCTATATGAATGTAAACACATACAAACATATAATTTTAGAAAATCGTGCCCATACATTCACATCTGACCTACTCATTGAAGTGTAGTGTCAAACACTGTATAGCGCTTTGCAAAACAAATGCCATGCGTAAAAACGGGTTTCTACTGACACAACTGATTGTAATTACATACATAATACTCTATTTCACACCAATTGTGTCTAAACGTTCCAAAACATATTACGTATACAGAAGACAAGAACACACAAACAACAAAAAAACACACTTTTTGATGACACCAAAACCTATTTTAGTTTTGGTGTCCACCCCCCACCAAAAAATAACATACCAGGGAAACCGGACAAAAACAAAGCGCACACTGTTTTTTGCTCTTCAATTCTGACCTTAAGAATTCAAACGCCATCCGGGAACACCAAAGAGAAAACTAAATGCACCAGACATTTTGGTGAGACCAAACGTTTTGGACCGAGTCAAACGGTCTTTTAGTTAGTTTTAGTTTTCACCGAGGCTTGGTTTCGGTCTGCGCCACCCCTCCACACCCAGAAACAAACACCCTGTCATAGAAAAACATAAGAAAACACATCACAAAATAAAACTGTTTGGTGAAACCAAAGCTTTGGTTGTTACATGTTGACTCTTTGGTGTGCATACCTCCCTTGGGGTAAACCCAACAAAACACACGGTCCTATTTTTGCTTTTCAGTTGGCTGAAGCCCCCTCAAAAGGAACAACATTTGGAGAAAAACAAGATAAAACTGAAAAAAAAAAAACGAAACACACAAAAATCATCAGATCTGTTACACCCACCATTCACTACCTCTTCCTTCCTTTACTGAATTGTGCATCCCGCTGTTTTTCCTTTCCGGCGCTCGCAAAGAGAAGTGGCTGGGGTTGGCATTGTCCCCCCCGCCAGGACCGTCGACGTATCCTCATCTTGTTCCATCTCTCAGTGCTCAATATCCTTCAGTTTCTTCCCTTGGTTACCTCTCCCTGTTCTCAATGGTACTACTTTGTCAAGTAGCCTTTTTGCTTCATGCATGTTGAGCTCCTGAGTGTCAAAAAGAACAGAAGCGAAAAGACAAGCCATTGAAGAATAGCAGGAACTGAAAGAGAAACAACAGCTTTTGAAACAACATTGGCGAATTCGAAGCAGGAAGGGCTTGGAAAGAGCATGCAACCATTCAATTGGAGCGGCTCAAGAAAAAACACATTGACGACTAGGAAGAGTCAGTCAAGAAAATAGGGGAAACATTGAAGAACTGAGCTGAGTGTACAACTGGGAAGAGCTTAATAACAGGGAGGGGGGTCCTCTTGGCAAGCTCTGTTCATGTTGATTTGTTTCTGTTCATGCTTTGTCAGAAATAACAATGTTAAAACACACAAAAAACATAGGCAACAAATTGGCAATCTATTGGACGTCAAACTTGTGAATAATAGTAGTCGTATTGTAATTAAGATACTTAGCGCGATCAGTCGTGCAATCAATTTAACAAGGAACACACTGAATAACGATAAGAAAATAACAACACAAACCCGTTTTGGGCGATCGCAGGTTTTCTCAAAACCGATCGAGGATCAAACAAACTAAACCGATCGAAGGGAGCAACACATGGATACAAACGATATCAATCGAATGCTATACATTTCTTGGATACAGCGTGGAACCACAACACACAACAAACAATGCTAGATGAGAGATGCGGCAAATCAACTTCTATAGCCCGAGCATACGGAATAGTAAAGTGAGGAGGAGAAACCAAGCACTGCTAGAACACAATTAGCAAGACGGAACAAGGTAACTGAACAAACAAACCAAGTATATAACACAGTGTAGAGCAGCAAATCAAAATGTCCAAACGTTAGCAGTACAAGTAACATTTACAGGATTTCTCCAATCTACGGACCATCCAGCTCGTCCAGTTGGATGTGCAATTGGTCCTGCTCTGATTGTGTGTTTGGTTGTTTTGCTTCTCTGCTGCAATCCGTTCAATATCTGAATTCATGCTGAGCTCTTGCTAAACAAACACTACTGAGAATCAAACACATGATTATATATAATATATATCATGAATCTATTTTGCTCTTGGTGTGCCAGTTCCACGGGTTCGATGGTCACACTTTGGTCTCTCTGACACTTTGGTGCACTGCGGCCAAAGAAACTGCGTCTGAGGAGTGGAAAGTGAGAGTAGTCATAAGACATCTATACACATTTAGGGTGTTTTCACATAATAGAGTACACATGTGAGTTGTTCTTGCGACATTATGGCAAAACATGGTGTGCTCACTGTTAGGCAGCAAACACCTATTATTACAACATAATGACAAGTGGCTACACATGGTTATGCAATTGCTCACGTTGATGTGGCACATTTGTTTTGCAAATATGGAACCTTTCTTTGAGTCTGAGCACTTTATCATACTTCTGACCGTTCCTTGTTGCAGTCCAAAATGAGTCTTTGTCGTGGTGAGATGTCCCACACACACACACATGGCTGAGCTTCCAATCGATGAGGACCCATAACACACCTCACTTGCTGAGGCTTTGCATTTTCCGACTCCGGATCCAAGGCCTTGAGTAAGGAGCGGACATGATGACATGTGCTTGGACCAAATCATATCCATCAAATGCCATCAAATGCCATGGGACTTTGGCCTGCTATGAACTCCACGCATGCCCGTACATAGTAAACCACTTGTAACCTGAATCTACGTCAGCCTGCTCTGCTCCAATGCTCCTAAAGCTCAGGGTTCAGCGTCCGCCCTCTAGTTATGATCCTCTAGTTGTTGTGGGTATTTGGTGGTCAAACTTTGGCTGATCAAAGTGTTTCTAAGGGTCGGGTCGGGGTTGCTCATTGTCCTCCTTCGCTCAGGGCCGTCAGAAGCTGGCGTGCTCGCCGGGAACGGCGGCGCGCGCCGCGGGCGACGAGGCCACGGCGCCGGGGCGGCCCTCTAGGCCTTGGCTCAAATCCATTGGCCCCATGAGCGACATCAGAATTGCTTCCTCAAAGCCACGGGCGCGAGAGCAAACGGAATGAATCACCCGTGACGAAACCGATTGATACTGTAGATGCGAAAGCAGGGCCAACTCTTGTAGCCATGGTGGGGAACAGAATGGGGTATGTTATTTGAAGCGTTTGAAGTCCATTTATCCAGAGTACCAGCATGCCCTGGCAAGGCTCAAGGGGATTGCCACTTGCGTTGGTCACTGTAGTGGTTGAACCTCCTACTGAAAAGCTCAAAGGCGCATAGAAAGAACCAGCGGTGCGCCCTTAGTGGGCCAGTGGGGCTCGATGTTCCGAAAGCCAACTGGATGAAACAGCAAGATCTCTTCGAAGTCAGTTGATCGAAAACAGGAAATTGCTTGCCCTCGCTGCTTGCCCTCGCTCTCATCACTTGCAAGCAACGCACTCGAGAAAACAACATTAGCCTACTCAAGACTAAAATAAAAACAGTAAGGCCATGAGCTGTCTGTGACACGCATGGTGGTTTGTGGGACCAATCAATTCCAGCTCGATGTACTGTCATCTCACCATCTCACGTTTCTGATGCCAGCTTATCGCATCTTAGCTTGTCTGGTTCTTAAGCTTGGCCCTCTGCTCTCTCACCTGTGTTATTAGGGAATGTCCTGGGGCAAATGGAAACGCGTGTTGAATATATATATATATGTATATATATATATGTATATAGAGCTTGTTTGAGAAGCAAACGAGTAAGCACAAAACAAACACAAACCGCTTAAGTCATACTGTCTCTGGTGAACACCCTGACTGGTCCAGCTGGTTCCGCATCCAAAGGGTCAATGTGTTGTTTTTGTTATCGGAAGTGAAGTCATTGTGTGTTTGACTGACGCTAACGCCCCTAGTGAAACTGGTCCTACCATTTACTTTTTTTAATAGAGTTGATGAGAATTATATGGTAATGTTGATGCATACTGATTCATAAAGCCCCAACCGTAAAAAACACATTCCAGTATTGACATCTTTATGAATCAACATGACAGCCCAATGGATGGAACACATTCCCCCCATACAAATGATTTCCAGTGCCCAGGTGCTTGAACGGCCAGCTCATCAGCATCTTGGCCTGATTCCGGTGTTTTCTCGGATGGCATCCCGCGTGACACACTTGGCCTGGGGGAAACCACGGCGCGGTGTTCCACAGTCGCGCCAAAGCATGACTTTTTCAGCAATGCTGGATGAATTTGGAGCCACCAATGGCATTTGACCAGCGCCTTGCCAATACAAATATGACTGAAATATCTCTTTTGGCGCGGACAGTCCGTATTTAAGGTGAGTTGGGTCTCAATTTCGCGCGTGCGTCTTTCCCTGAGGAATGGCCGTCGGCCTTGTCGTCGTGCGGTCGCCCAGTCTCATCCGGTCCCCATTTGGCCACTGTAGGAGCATGGGAATAACACTAAGCTGACCAGGCTGACCACGCTGACTCCTGGGCACCTGTCGCATTTTCCCAGGCCCAAGCAGTTTAACAGTTACTAAACATTATAATATATATTATATTAAAACGCGCGGGTGATAAGTGACTGTCCCTGACTGGCCATGCAAAATGGACTTCCTCATTCGACTGGGGCTGCTCCACATCGATGATGCCAGAAGCGGTACAAGTAAGAAGAATGACTGAAACTCTCTTCGTGTTGAAGTATGTCTGGTGATTGAAATTCAGTGCCTTGCAGGGTTCTAAAGGGAAAGGGTGTTCGCTTTGGAACCTTCAAGAAGAATCATAATTGTCCTGGTGGTGCATCCAAAACGCACCAAACGCCGCTGTATGAAAACGTAGGCATCTTAAAACAGGCCAACACATCTCAGGAGGCCAACAAGTGCAATAGAACAAGAAGACATCTTGATGCATGAGCATCCCTGTATTCACTGAGTCCGACCAAATCACTTAAGGCCAAGCTTGGAGACCTGAAAGAATGAAAGAAACACCGGTCGCCCCTTCCACGGTGTTTCACCACGCCCATTGCCGCAGTGTTTCACTCCACCGACCCCGCGCCGTCCCGTCCGGGTGCCTTCAAGGTCCACCTCTTCGGGTCGGATGTCCTGGATGGCCATCGGCTGGGCCGAGGCGGTTGAGGCGTTCACCCGATGAGGCGGCCTCGCGCCCGGTGGGTTTTCTGGAAGGTTTGGGGGTCCCGCGGTCGACCTCTTAGGACTTGGCCACTACGCTGGTGTTGAAGGACTCGGCCACAAACCTTGGTGTGATGGTTAACAACTAAGGGACTAAACAAATGGGTCAAATCAAAAGGCAACCAGGTGCATGGACTCCAAACCTCCATGGTGACAAAGTGAAGCAGAAAAGAAGACACCTGCGCCCGGCGCAAATATAACACATACAGTAACAGGTAATCAAATAATTCTCCGCCAAACCCTCCGCGAGGAGCCGCAGTGCAAACCCAAAAGAGCAAGGCGTGTCCAGTGGGCCCTCAACATGTAAGATTTAAACCTGTTTCAGGAGAAAACCAGGCGTTGTTAGGAATTTGTTCTCTGCAAATCTCGGGTGCTTCTCCTCAGAAAGCATCCTGACTGAGCGCATTTTGCGGTTAAACTTGATTCAACACAATTCTTAAGAACATACATTTGGAAATTTCAGGAACAATTACAGGATTCCAAGAAAGGGATGGGAAACAGGAACATGCGCCGTCCTCAAAGCCTCTTGAAGCTTCTGGTGCAGGTAGCTCGCCGGCAAGGCCTGGCGAGGAAAGGCATGCCCTGCTTTGTGTTCAACTGAAGTCGTAATAGTCGTAGCCCTTCGGCAAAACTCTTGGCTCAAATCCAAGAGAAGTGGTGGTTTATAACATGGAACTCTGCCTGAACAAAAATGTGATTTTATTGAATGTTGATGATGTTGCCTGTGTTGTTCTACTGATCCCTCTCCCCGAACTTGTTTCAGAGGAGCGCGGTAGCCAATGTACAGAAACTGAACCCGTCCTTGAGGGACAACCATTCACCAGTTGGGAATTTGTGGGATTGGGCAGAATGCATATGAATCTATGGATATGCATGTAAAACAATAATAAAAAGCATAATTCATAGCAATAGCTAGTCGTATGATGTCGTATGCAGTCATTTTATCACATTAGAGACGGAGTTGAGAAAGGCGTCGGTGCAAGCACATGTTCCGGACATGCTCATCATAAGGCAATCGCGCACCGTGGCCAGGTCAACAGAAGCAGAGTAAAGAACGGCAATCTCGGAACCAACTGCGCTACTGTTGATGGAAGAATTCCGCCACCACCTCAGGTACGAGATACACCCAATGATTGACAGTCTTTTGGGGTCTCCAGGTGGTGCTGTTTCATCAGTCGTTGAGTTTTGGGGTAGGCCCGGCAGGCCAAACGAAAACGATCCCGACGCCGGACCTGCCGGCAAGCAAAGACGCTCCTCGGCAACAGATCCATGCAGACCGGCACGTTCCGAAATTAATGAGCAAAGCTCTCCATTTCTCCGTAAGAAAAGCTCTCCAGGTTGATATCTGATAGACAAAATTGGTTTTCCTGCACATGATGGAAATTATACACCAAAAACACAAAAAAAATACCGCTCCCGCCGCCACCAGGATAATATATCAAAAACATCTTGCCCCAACCCTGCTACTAGTATGTCATAGAGCAAACATCATTGAATCATTCAAAGGCCCTCAATTCAACCCGACGAGGACAAACAACACTGCAATATCTGCAATGGGATGCAATAAGGGCACTTTTTGCTGCGTTGGAGCATGTGCTCTACAAATCCAATACGTCTTCCTTTCGCAGGCTGCAACGTGAACCACCCATCACTCTACATCGCGGTGCTGACCACCATGTAATCATATAAATGATGACTTATATGTGCGTATGAGACTCAGTTTGGTTCTGAAATTATGATACTTATGAGAGCGTCATGTCAGGTAAAACATGGTAAAACAACACATTTGCCGGGCCGTACCCATTTCTCCACTTGTTTGTCTATGTCATGGAAAGAAATCCTCTGCCGCTGCCACCTGCAGCTCACCAACAACTGATACATTGTCCCGCACGGGGGCGCAAAAAAAGCGCCACGACCATGTGGTCGTTCGACCGTGTGGTCGCTCGCCCGCACGGTCGAGCCGAGAGGCATACAGGAAAATGGAGATCCCATCAGCCAAATATTGTGGCCTCCGTCCATTTTTGGGTCGTGAAGCGGCGGCACTGGACAGCACGACTCGAACAAACAAAAAGGCAGCTCCGACAAGGGTGGCCAGGAATTAAGGCCTTGTGGCACAGAAATGTCTGATCGTGGGCTAAAAGCAAAGCAGGATGTTCATTGCTTTAACGAGTGCAAGTACTGTCGGAAATCCATTCATCATTCTATGAGCCGATCGAGGCCTCTGAGAGTTGTGATCGCCCTCAATGAGGACGATATTCTTGTCTCCCGCATAGATGTCGTAGATGTCGTGCGTATGGTGCGGATCAATCAGTTCATCATTCACCTCAGGTATGTGGCTCATGATGCCGTCCTCAAGGCCATATGTGCCTAGCCTAGCTCTGAAGACCGCAGATTGAGTCGGGTTGATCACCCTCTCTGGGGTGCCAAAATCATCCAAAATCCTGTCCAACAGGCGGAACTGGTGTATGATGCTGAACGATGAGAGATGGTGTCTCCGCTCTTTTGTTCACATGTGCTATGTCTTCCGACCCCTTCTCGCTCGGTGCCGTCCAGATTCGCCGGCGACGAAGAGGGAAGGAATAAAGCAAGTATGCACATTCCTTGGGGTGGAAGCCAAGCACGAAGCACATGAAGCCAACGCATGTGCTCAGCCCACGTCCCACGGCCATTTGAATGAAGTCAGATGCCACCCGTCCTTTCACCATGCATATGTATCACCATGAGTGTTTTTGGGGTCACATGGGTTCACAACTGTGGGAGCCTTCAGATCTGAGCGGCAAGAGAGAACGTTGAGCAAAGAGTAAAACGACATAAAACGTAAATATGTTCACAATCTTTCCTGCAAACATGGTGCTTTGGTGCGAGGTGGTCAACTAAAGGGGCAGCGACAACAAAAAGAATCAAAAAGACTTGTGGGATTGGCACTGGCGCCGGCGTCTTCGGCGGCACGAAGGGACGGAAGACAGATCGGGATCAGAGCACATAATGCAACAACTACATGAAACTACTAGCCGCTACAGGTTGGACCAATAGGAAAATACCACTATACTATACAATAATATACTATATACACACATGTAAGAAAATGAACATTGAAAGCTTGGAAGAAGGAAAGGAATGGAAAGGACATGGTCTGAGCCCTGCGCGAAACTGTTGCCAACACTCAACCTGGACCAACTCTCCTGCTTCCAATTTCCAATCTCCCGTTTCAAGGCTTGTTTGCCGCACACTACCCACGTACACGCGTGGAATCTTGGGCATCAAAATGTATAAAGTCTAGGCCACGAAGAAGCGCAGCTTAGAATCTCAATCGGCTTGAGCTTCAAAATGTCCATGCCAGTACCTGAGGACTCACTGGGAATCTGGAATTGTTCGATCATGTCTCGCAGGGAAGCGACCAATTTAAGAGTTCTGCAACGCAAAGTCGGAAACATCATTTCATGATGTGTCATGACTGTTTTGATCTAGCAGGAGCTCATTTTTTGATCAGGTCCTATCCCTTCACATCTTACCAATCACCATTGGCCAAGCGTCGCTTCTTTACCGATCTGCGAACCATGCCCATGGCAGCATTCACCATGAAACCCAGCTTGCATCGGATGGGCATCCGCGCCTCACGTGGTCAGTCATGGAAGAGGAGAATGGAGAATGGAGCTGGATTCCCCTACTTGGCCTGTACCTGGAGATTCCTCGAACAACTCAGCTCCAACAAATAGCAACTGACTCACTGGCTACTGACTCACTCCTTGATGCAGGATTCCCATCCCCAACAACTACAGGAAACAGTGGGTCCAACGAATCCTATATGTTCACAAATCCTATGTTCACAACAATTCGCAGCACACACTATACAAACCCCAAATAGATAGAAAATAGATAGAAAAAATAGAAAAGTAGATCCCCAATAGAACTGTATTGGAAACCGTTTCTATCGATTTGGGGATCACTGACTAAAGAACCTACTAGGACTGTTCTCCTCGGATTACTGGGCTCAACCGCCGGTGCCCACGGGCGGTGCAATGAGCTCGCCCGACTCGACCGGCTCCTCGACCACCGGACGAGGAGTCGTCGACAAAAGTGACGTCCAGGTGCAATGAGCTCGCGCACCACCATTTCGAGGCTCGCGAAGGGGCTATCCAAGATCTTGGATGCGGTGCACGTTGGGCGAAGACGTTCGCAGTGAAAGGAACATGAGGCGAAGTGAAACGAACGTGAGGCGCAATGGGACCAACAGGCCGAGCAATTTGCTTCCTTTTCATGGTGCTCAATGTTTGGGCCATATCGGCCATACCCATGTTGAAGATAACTGAGGCTGCGCTTGGGCACCAAAGCATGGCATAGCCTGGCTAAATAACTCTTTGGAGAAGGGGTACAGTAGTTCCTCACTGAATCACTCAATTTTAAGGTTGGCTCATATGCTTTAACAGTGCATAGCGGCGTATTTGCCAACTCACCTTTCTGGAAGTAACATAAAGGTGTCCCTCCTTCCATGAGAGTCCAAACACTGACTACTGAGGGTTAGATGCTTCCCTGACATCTGAGATGGGCACATGTCACATTGACCACACCTCCCCGGCATACCTCGTTTATCCCAGTTTTGAGACATGGAAAATACTATGTGCATCGGCGTGTATTATGTAGTTTATAGTTCAGGGAATGGCAAGCAAACACAAACTGCTTTGGGAAGAGTGCTTTCTTTAAGCAGGGCGCATGACAAGAGCAAGTCGTGGGCAATTGAATGCAACCAGTTCAATTCCTAAAATGAGGCATAAACATAGTCAACTATCAACACGTATGACTTCGGTTGTCGATGCACAAAATGGTTAACGGTTTACAGCTATCAACATGAACTATGATTGTCACGTCATTGTCATCCCGTGAGCCCACAACTGCATGAATGAAGTCTCAAACCCAGTACTGGTCTATCTCTTCTGGGTTCTGGATCAACACTTCTTTTGGCCCAGCAACCAAAGCGGCGATACTAGGATCTCGGTGCCCATGCCTGGGAGTCTTCTCTGCGCGGCTGCAATGGGTGATCCGGTGGCTGGGAACAAAAGAACAATAATAGTCATGATTAATCAAGTATATATATAATATAACAAGACCTAAGACAACTCAACACCAACTATGGGTGTATAAAACGAGTTGTAGTCAACCACCCAGTAGACCTGCGAGCTGAACTTTCGTACCGGTGGGATTCGAATACATAAAGAAGCTCATATACACAATGGAACAATCAAATAGTATAACATATACACAAATTAAAACTAGTATATAAGACATTTAATTTGTAAGGACACATCGTTGAATATTGTTTGTAAAGGTCACCCGGCTTGGAACAAATGCCAAGATCAGCTCGATCTTTCATGACGGGAGGTGCCACCAGCCTGGAAAACGGTCAAAACAACGGCCCATGATAGCTCATGTTCCAAGGTCAAGTGATGTCCAGTCCTTCTTTAGAGATCCTATTTATTCCTATTTGCTCTATCCCTACTGGTCCCATGAAGAACTACCTGGACCTTGCTGCCTACGAAATGAAGGCCAGCCAAGCCGCAGTAGAGCGGTAGCCGCCCCCATGGAACGGCCCCATAAAGCGATGGTCGAGACCTGACGACGTGGCGCCCCGTCAACAGGGCGACCCTGGCCTGACTACGAACGGAGCGATCGGACGCGAACCGAACGGGGCGAAACTGGCATCGCTACTAGGAACAAGAAGCTACATCTTCAAAACAGATCAAGGCAGTATGTATACGACCAACACTGTAGCAGGAGAAGAGAACTACAATCCTGTGTCGCCTGTGGGGTGGCCATGGCAAGCGACCCTCCATGGCAAGCGACACCCGTCTCCCGTCGAACGCTGCCTCACCCGTCTCCCTGAGGTACTTGATCACCTCCTGCACATCATCCTCGGCAAGCGGCCAAACAAATGCGGACAAACACGAGTCCGTTGGAAGAACTGCCACACCGAGCCAGGGTTGAAATGGTTTGAAGAATCAGCTCATACTGTTATGACCTCCCAGTGCTGCTATGTCTATTCCAACTTAAAATACTATTAGGAATTCAATAGGATCAAAAATGGATTTGGAAATAGAAACCACATATGGCTGGAACGTGGAATGGGAAACTGTCGCCGTTTTTACGCTCCAATCACACATTCCTTTCTCCCTGCCCCTGGGGTTCCAGCTCTCTCATGGTAACCCAGGGTGATGTAGTCACCTGAATCTCAAAGCTCAACGACCTTTCCGAACAGCAGCTGCATTACTTGAAGAACATCTTTCCGTGAAGCCATTGCCCTGGCGAGCTCAACATCTGAAGATAAGTAGAAACCAAAGAGCTACACCATACCGGCCAATAACCCAAATCGCATTGAACATATGCATCACCGGTCTATAGGCTTCCAACGTGAACATCCCACGGTTCTGAGTCTGGCCTTCAGATTGGCCACATCCAGCAAAGTCGAAGGCAAAAAGTGTGATCCCCCGCATCAGGACCTCAAAGGCGCGCCTTCACTGGTCGTCAAGCCTGTGTTTCAAGCCGGGAGCTGGCTGAATCATCACGCGGGCCTTTCTGGGCCACATAACTACGCCAAACACCCCTCAATTAATGGGATGACTTGAACAATGATTTCCTCCCCGCAGTTCATGTATGTTCATATCAGTTTGTTGACAGGCCATTCCCCTGAGCCATTCCACAACTGATGGCCCTGAGCCATCTAAAATGGGGGATAAGTCCCGATGGCCCGATGAGTTCGGAAAGTGTCCCAAACGCAGTCGACCCTTTTTTGAAAAGGGTCTGGCCCGGATTGGCCCCGGATTGTCACTTGTGGTTGGTTTGAGGAGCCGCACTCTGTTTGGATTCAGTGAGCTTGGACAAATGGCCACCTCAAAAATCCTAAAAGCAGTGACAAATATTGAGGTAGTGAGACCCAGCCAACCGTACCTAAGTACCATCCTCAGGAAATGATGAGCCCTACAGGATGACGGTGATTGGATGCACAAACCTGCAGTTTGACGGTTTCAGCTTGCAACGGTCCATCAACATGACACGACCGAACGGTGCCGGCGAGGCTCTAAGCGGACGTGCTGCAGCGCTTCCAATCGACAGGAGGAGTTGCCGTGCAGGCACACCTGCATGGCATCATGGCGCGTGGCACCGGGTTTTGGAGACATGAAATGTTGGGAAAGCATTGGAAAGCAAACATGTCAACCGCAACTGTAGAAGCTACTTGCATACTGACTGTCAGTGAGGGGAAGCAAGACTCCTGTAGGCAAAATTGATCACTAATTGACATTTTCTGAGTGGTATGCTAGGAATAGAATATAAATCATGCTCTTGTGAAGGCAAATGTTTGACGGCTGACCAACTAAGAAGGCAAATGCGCCCAACAACCTGCGCTCTCTGACCAACAACCAGCGCACTCTAACCTCGAAGCTTCTGCAACATTACCTGAGTAACTTCCCAACAGTCTCATACTGCCAAGTGCCCCGGCCACGCAGGGGAGCGGCTCGGGGCTGATCAGCCGCGGTTCTTTAGGCTTCCACCAGCTGCATTCCAGCAAATGCCCTGGAGGGTATGGTCAATCCTTTGGGCTTTCACAAAGTCTTACAACGTTTCATAGCAAGCAAATGAGGATGAACTTTGGCAAAACATAAACAATCTCAAAAAGACCGCTGAAAGTTGAGGAACGTTCTTTATAACAAATGGAAAGGAGAAAACGACAAAACCTACCAAGGGATGTGTTGCTGTCAGGAGGAATCTGGTGTCTTTTTAAATCTATGTTGATGTTGTTGTTGTTTTATTGTTCAAACATGAAATGCCGTGCCAATGTGTGCTTTGTACTATGCTTGGTGCAGCTTGGTGTCCAAAAGCAACTGGTAATACCGTAATACCGTTTTTGTCCATCTCTCTTTGCTGCTCTATGTACCGAAGTTAATATACACATTATGTTAATGATTCATACTGATGAAGTGCCCGTTCCACCGTTGCAAGACCACCGCCACTCTTTACCTCCTATCCCAGCACATCTGAACATCGTTCATGCCATTTCGGCCTTGGGGGTTTTGCACTTGCAAATCGTGCCGCTGGAACTTGTGGCCAGCAAACAGGAAGCTCTTCGGGCCTGAGGAGAAGTGACATGGGTGACTCAAAGCGGGAGATCCAAAAGGGAGAGGTGAGTGTTCCACCAAGGAACATCAGGAACTTCAAAGCCAATACTCATATGTTTGGATCTCTTTTTAAGGGCTCTTGAACATTCGAAGGTGCTTAAATCGTCCTACTTATCTGTTGCAAAGCCTGTGTTCAAAGCTTTGCAGAGGCAGAATTCGGAACAATTGGCCAGGTTGAAACGCGTGCCGTGTGCTTTGGGTTCAGATTCGGAGCTTCGTCGTTGGCGCAGCTTCGTCTCTTCTATCCGTTCCCATCGGGAAGAAGCTGCTGCGATCGTATGCGTGACTGAAAAATAACGTCCTGCTTCAGCAAGTCTCTGTTTGGCAAGTTAAGGCTTTCTCGTTTGGCTGCTTCAAACTGCTCTATGGCTGTTCATTTAGCTCCGCAAAGCCGTTTCGGTCCTTCATTTGAGGGCCTCAAGAACTGTCGCAAACCAGCTATGTCTTGAGCTCGCTTCGAGGCTATGGCTAGAGGGCAAATAGAGCAAAGTCTTGCCAGCATATGTTTGTGTATTCTGGTTATTGTTTAAAGAGGTTCTCGTTCTGATTAGAGTAGTGGCATTCTTTTCAGGAAAGTGCTGCCATCGAGCAAATAAGCCCCATCATGAGGGGTCATAATGATTGCATATATTCAGGACAGGGTACTGCGTTATGGACATTAGGAGGTGAACCCCCCCCAAAAAAAGAAAAGAACACTCATGCCACATCATATCACCCAAGCCCACTCGCTACACCTGGGAAAGCCAATGCCGCCAAGCTGCCCATGTGATCCACTTTGTACTCTGCCCGAGGCGGGCGGATGATCGCATTCCTCGCGAATGCGCTTTGCACGTGACGATCGTGATGGGAATATGATTGCCGAAAAGGTGCTAGTATCGGCACAGGAAGCGGGAGAAACAACACAACACATGAATAATGTACAATCGTGTGGTATAATGTGTGTGTGCATGTGCATATATCATCAGAATCATGTACCCTGGGAGTCAAACTCCCAAGTTTAACTTGGTCGTTAACAACTACGAAGTTAAACTTAGACGTTCCGTAACAACGATGTTTTCTCGATCGGACACGTTTCTGCATCTTTTTATCTTCCCTCAAGTTTGGTGCTGATCGCTGCCATCAATTGTGGCATTCTCCAACGGAGTGATCTATACCTCAAACGAGCAAACCGAATGATTCCATGTTCACGCCCACGAGCTTGCAATTGGCGTTTGAGACCACTCCTTTTGGCCCATCCTGCACAAGATGATAGACAGACCCCCCCTGCAAACGTCATTTCCATCACAAACAACTCAACCATCACAAAATCGAGATGCAAAGACAGTGTTTGTCCTTTCAGCTGGCCCATGAGATCTTCATCTAAAAATGTATACTCGAAACGTGGGTTGCATCCTGAGCGTTTTGGAGGTAAGCCAGGAGGGGACGGTATGCTCAAAGTGCAGTTTGTTTCTCTTAAAGGTGAGGCCAAGGTGGAACATGCAATCTGGAGAATGCTCCTTGCCACCATGTTGCTGGTCTTCAGCACGGTGTCTTGCAAAGTGTGCATAAATGCCTAATTTTCCAAGCCCAATGATGGCAGTGCAGACCAGTCGACAGGCAAGATTAAATCTGGTTGCACACCAAAGTACATGAATCTTTGGAATGGTCACCCAGGACAAAATGCCTTTCCTGAGATTGAGATGTGATTGATTTCACGGACATTGAAAGAACAAGCTTGAGTGCAGAATGATCCAACCTTCGAACAGATAATAGTTCCTTGATCACAACTTTTGCTATCAGGAGAACGGAGTTGATTCATACCTCAAATGAACACCCACCAATCTACGGTGCTGGGTTGCAACGTTTGTTTAGCTATATTTTGACTGGTTTAGCTGAAAAGGGTCTCCCAAGCCCAGGCACTGAATTGACATGTGGCTCAGGGATAAATACCCTTCAATGTAGGCACGGCCAGCCTCTTCAATTTGTATTGCCTGCAACACAGTCCTTGGACCACACTAACAATCAGAAGACCCACCAACATCCTACATTGGCAAACGGGCTTCTTAAGCTTAATCTCAGCCATGGCAGTGGATATGGCCAAGCTGCAGAGCACGGGAGGACCGCTCTGTCAGTCCAAAATACCGGTTGATACCTCGCCTAGGTAGGCTGATATGGATTCGACTGGGAGTGGATATTTGATATGGGATTCTTCGAAGAATGAAGAAGAGGTTTTGTTGAATGTTGTGTACATTTTTTGACAATTCCATACATGCTAAGCTTCAAGGTTGCCTCTGTCATGTACAACCTCTCATCCTGCACCATGCCATCACGTCGGACTTTGGTAACGGTGTCCAGAAGCCATGCTGACACACATCTTGCGTTGAAACCCTTGCAGTTCATGTACGCGCCATAGTCTTCGTTGAAGACAAAACGATACTTGAATCTTTTTTGGGAAGACGATATCTTGTGAGATTTTGTCCAACTGCAAAACGAAGACCAAGCATGCTCCAAGGCAGTTCGGTAGGCTTCTGGGCTTGCAAGATCATGAACTTGTCCAAAAGCTCCAATTTGTAGGAGCATGCCCCTTAGTTGTTCTAACGGTCCCTCATTATTGACTGTTGGGTTCACTCCCAATATTAAATGTAGAATGAGAAATGGACATACAGTTGTCTCCAAGGTACAGGGTTGAGCCATTGGAGACTCCCAAGAGACCCAAGTTCACTATGTGGAGCGTGCACCCCTTGATAAGAGAGATATTAAAAAAATGAAGATCGATGAGTGGGCCTGGGCAAATGCGGAAAAGAATCATCATGAGTTATGAGTTGTTTTCCCAAACAAAGTCATATGGTCAGATCAATGAGTTCTTTCTCGTGTGTTAGTTTGACACGTACACAGCTGTTTGGTCGAGGAACAAAGTGGATCTTGCAGCTCTTCCATAATAAATTCATTTGTGGATCGCCGAGTTGTGTGCCACCCATCATTGGAAAACTCATATTTTGTGTATCGAAGGTTTGATGTAGTATCCGCTCTGGCCCTACACCTGAAGCAAACCTCATGAGATACCCAATGAGCCTTGTGTCTAAACAACTGTCTTATCCACGCTTGATCGCCACGAAGTTCGGATACAAGAAGCCTGCGACCTCGTACTCCCTGTTCTGAAAGCAAATTCATGCTATCAACAACAGCCTGATATGCTGGATACAATGATGAAGCGAAGTCGATCACTTTAGAGCTCTCGATGGCAAAAAACCAAGAACCGAGAAAGTCGTGCACACTTGGGCCGGAACAATGGTAAGCTCATAAACACTCCACAGATTTTGTGGCTTGGTGCATTTTGAAACATCATCGATGCTTCATCACCGTACAACGCACATGGCCAAACCAGGGAGTCACACGCATTGCGAAAATCTCTGGTCGATAACGCCCAGTCATCTCCAACAAACTCTAAGTGCTCCCAAAACGACTTCACAAGCTCGTCGTTGAGATGTAAGCCACAATCTAGCAGGTGCTCTACAATGTGATGAGGTAAAAGCACAGGTAGATCCATGGGAGCCACAGTGTCATCGGGTTGCTTGGCTTTGATTTCAACCAATGTTGGTTCCTGAGCTTTTAAGTTTTATAACTATTCCACTACCACATGAGTTCATTGTAAGTGACACACGTTTACAATTCACACAAACGACTGCACATCGAGCCCGTGTTCCACAGGCAGTGGCGTTGCTTTGTAGAAATCTCGGGTATTGTTCCAAGTCGTGAACTTGCCCACTTTGGCTGTCCAATCGAAAGCAAATGGTCCGGCTTCCTCAAACACGAAATCATAAAATTCAAAAGAACACACAGCATCATATGAATTCACATCTCGATTATTATATGCCTTCATTCATTGGGTCATATTGCAAATCCACATGTGCAATCAAGATTCTTCATAAGCTGCTTTTGCTGATTTCACAGCGGCGCGAATACTAATAGCCTCATACATGCACGGATACTTCACCGATGAGCTAGTACAGTGAGAACTGGATTTGATCGACTTGTGAAGTGTGTACATCCACTGTTTCCAGTCAAAGTTTAATACTTTGAAGACCAAGCAACACCAGCTGCGATCTTCTCTACAATATCCCGATGTACTGGCCCGTCGCATCCCTGAGCACCTCCGAAAGCGTGATCGTGATGTGAGAAAATCCGGAACCGTACCGATATAGAGGATTTGAATTGCAAGTTCAGGTTGTAAAAACCAATCTCGACACTCTCAAGAGAATTCTGTTTGCATGCTTGAGATTGTTTTCTCAGTTTTTTTTTTGCGGGATCCATCAATCTGTGAAGTGTTCACACTTCGTTGAAGCTACACCGGCATACCTGTTCCACCCTGCAACTTGACTGAGCAAGTTGGCACCCTGACAGGCAACCCAGCGACTGGCCACACGAAATCAAAGTTCACTGAACTCAACAGATCGATACAATGTTGACTACATTAATAATGATTTGCTAGTTGATCATTTACTACTACAGAAAACAAACGACACAAGTTGGCAAATGTCGCTTTGCAAACTCAAGGGTGTTCTTCACCCAACATCACCTAAGATTACCTAAGACTGTGTTTTCTTTGCCTTTTTGGCTTTTAGTGGTTCACATGCCGATGTCAGCTCGGTGCATGCGCGATCACACTCATCGATTGCAGCCTGTTCAACCTGGCAAAGATGACAAGATATCAGTCCAAGGTGTTGATAAAACAAAACTTGGCCTTAGAGTTGTCTATGGCTGCTTGAAGAGCAGAACGCTTTGCCTGGAGATGCCAAATGTAAATACTCAAATACATGATTGCGATTGAAATCTAGTTTTTAGTCAAACTAGAAGACGTGATGCCACTATTGTATATATGCCTCCAACTGCGATTGCTTGGTCTCGACATCGTCCTTGATGCTGGCTGCGTACTTTTCAGACCTCAATACAACGAATACAAGGACCGTTGAAATAGTGGTTGATATTGAAGTCACCAATATCTGAGACATTCACATGGAACTCAAATTGGGTTTCAATGAAACAGCCCATTTGATCTTGGCACTGGCATCTGCAATTGCCTGCCACAAATCAATATAGACATGCATGCTGCATGCATGTATATGCTGATAACGGTCAATCGATCGAAAGCCTTCTTTGCACTCTTTTGCAAGTCCTTTTTGTCATCTTTCTTTGGGTCCGGCACTTGTGGTTGACCTTTCTCCTTTCTTCCCTTGCCACCTTTGCCCGCCTAGAACAAGTAAATACATTAGCATAAATTTCTCACTCATAAATACAAATTAGGAAACATTAAAGAAACAACATAAAGAAGCAAAGCAATATCGATCAATCGAACACCGAACCTTGGAGTGTTTCTTTTGTTTGTCTTTCTTGTTTTTCTTGTCCTTTTTTGATTTATCCTTTTTATGTTTTGGACTGGACTCATCACTCGAAGACGAACAGTCAAGGCAGCTGTATAGCTGCGTGATCTCTTCCTGCTCCTCCTCTTCCATGCTGTCCTCCACGAGTGTCAAGAATTGCATTGCCTCCTGTCAAGGGGTGGTGGTATGTGAGAGTCACAACTATGTATATCTCGATGTTTATACAGCATAACTGCAAAACATAGTGTCCCACACCCGGCCAACACCCAGCCTCAACACCAGGCAACTCTGGATTCTCTCGCACTTCTTTCGCTCGTAACTCTGTGTCCAACAGCTTTCGTTGTCTCATTTGTTCTCCCAAGGAGGCTCCAAAAAGACTGTCCATTTGTCCACCAGTAAGCCACTTTCTTGTGCCCCTCCGTGTGCTCTTGTGACGATTCAAGATGTTTTGATAAAACTTACTCTCCTTCCACTGACCTTGGCAGGCACCCCATGCCTCATAGAGGATAGAATTCAGGGAAGAGCCTCAGGCACACATATACATCTAATCTGATAAAATATAGCAGCAACAAATCTTGAAAGCATGATACGAATCTACGTGTGTGCATATTGTCCCAGTTGATATCACAACACCAAGTGGCTTCCATGGGCTTCTTGGCCCATTTTTCTGATTTCCAAGGGCGCGGATACACCTGAGCATTGGACAAATAAATATATTTCATACTGCTAGCTGCTATGCTTGAGTTGAGCTGAGTACGGTACTTCGAACTGATCAAAAATATCTCATGTACCGTGCATGCGCTTCATCTTTCTTCCGTTTGAGCTCTTTTTGTCTTTTCTCCTCTGCAATCTCTTCTGCTGTCTTTTCTCCCAATTCTTCTTCCTTCTTTTGATCACCTTCCGTGGCCTTAGCGTCGATCTTCTTTGTCGCCTCATCATCGTGTGTGCTCTTTGTCACCTCATCTTTGTTGTCATTTGGAGCGCTGTCCTTCTCACGTTTCTTTAAATCTTCAGCCACCTTGGCTGCCTGACGGTTCTTTTCTGCTTCCTCAAACACTCTTAGCCTCGCCAGCTTCAATGTGTTGTGCTGCTGACCGCTTTGTGATGATGTGTTTTCTTGCACCTTCAGCCGCTGAAGCTCGAGCCTTGCTAGTTCAAAGCGTTCCTCTACCTCGCGAATATTCTTTCCATCAGCAGCTGCCTTTGCTTTCTTCGCATCCTCAAGCTTCCGAAGTTCTTCCAAGGCTGCAGCCTTCTTTTGCTCTTCCTCAACTTTCTTTGCTTCTTCTGCCTCCTTTGCTTTCTTCGCATCCTCAAGCCTTCGAAGTTCTTCCAGGGCTGCAGCCTTCTTCTGCTCATATTGATCTTGAACCTTCTTCTTTGCTTCTTCTGCCTCCTTTGCTTTCTTCTCTTCCTCAAGCCTTCGAAGTTCATCCAGGGCTGCAGCCTTCTTCTGCTCATCTTGATCTTGAGCGTGTTTCTTTGCTTTTTCTGCATCCTTTGCTTTCTTCTCTTCCTCAAGCCTTCGAAGTTCATCCAAGGCGGCAGCCTTCTTCTGCTC